CGTTTAATAAAAAACAGATAGTATAAAAAGATCGTTTCAAGGCACACCCACTTAAAATTCTTTCCTCGAAATGTTTGCATTGGACCACTGCGACCAAATCTTCTAGGTATACTATGACCACAGGCCAAGTCCCCAAGTGGGGTTCCTTGTTAACCATGTCCATAAAAAATTGATGTATTGCAGTTACATCTAAAATAATATTGATAGACATTTTCTAACCCCCCTCCTAATGAAGACCGTGTAAGGTTTCGTTTGAGTAGCTCCATGGGTTAATTATAGATCGAACTCGAGGAACATATGTCCATACATATGTGTCGTTAAAAAAAACATGACGCGGTTCAGACAGCCGCATAAGCTTCACTTTCTTCGAGTCCATAGTTCATTCGTACAGCTCGTCTTTTTCCGCGACGTGGAGCGTGGCCCAAGGAGCACAGAGTGCTCATTGTCGCTTAATTGGCCTAGCAGCCTTGAAACGAACGGATCGTGTCGCGGTCGAACGAGAGTAAAGACACGCTTGGGAAGAGAACCGCGATCCCGGTTTTCCAGCGGAGGTGAGAGGATCACGCTCGCCCCGTTTTGTAGTCCTTTGTGTGTGCCGGGGCAATTTCGACTTGTTTCGAGCAGAGTGGCCACTCACAATCCCCGCGATCGAGTAACGCGTAACGAGCGTGTGCAGTGTAGATTGTCGCCACGAAAGCCACTCTAAACGAACTGTGCCAGCTTGCTGCCACACGTTTGTTTCTAGAGCACCCTACCTACCTTCCTCCCCACGCTCCCTGGAAGAGGCTTTCGGGAACCAGGCCGCGGGAGAGTAAAAGAAAATAATGGACCGATGAGGCAACCGAATATCGTGCATCGTTTCAGGAACGTGTGAACCGATACGATTCCACGCGCGTTGCGACACCGCTCGTCACGATCTTCGGGGGATCGCTGATACTTTTCGATTGGGGGGGAGGACCGATTGGTTCTTTGTGAAAAAGTTTATGTAGATCGTTGTCATCGCGGCTCCAGTCGCGGGAGTAGCTTGTTGCTTGCTACCTGGAATCTTGTAATGACTATGGTGTTGCAATGAACATTCTTCTTGTCAAGAGGAAAGGTAAAAAATAGAGCGAATGCAGAAAAATATTGGAACGCCGTTAGGTCTGTTACGGTTATGGCAACTGAACTGGGACGAGGGGAAGGCGATATGAAGAGAGAAGAGTGAAAAAGAAAGAAACGTTTCATCTTGGGCAGGTAGTCGAGTGTGATCGGTAAGGCTACTTAGCAGACCCTCGCTTAGACGTGGGATGTTCGATAATCGGTTTAGGAGAGTATACGCACAAGAATCAGCAGCAGATCGGATACCTGCGAGAAAGGTATTGTCCGAGAAACCCTCTGATGGCGAGTACAGGCGGTGACGCCAAACAGCAAATACATCGAACAGAAGAAAACAAAATACATGACGATGAAAAAAACGCGTTCCTTGACTGATTACTGCACTCTAAACTATAAGCGATAGGAACTATGTATCGCAGCTTAGGTCATTCATTGACCTCCTCTCCGCGACCGATACAAGACCCCGACACGTTGCGACGCTTGAATGAGGACACGTTAATAGTGAAAATTATACGCAACAGTGGCTCACGACGACGACGGTCTACCTAGAGAACACCTATCGATTTTTTTGTCTGCGCCAACAGACGAGTATCGTGTTCCTTGTTCGCTTGCCGTACCCGTACCTACCGTGTGCGCAAAGAAAAAACCTGTCGAACTACACTCCTTACCGCTAACACAAAATCCAATTGACACTGTTACGAACATACATTTCTCTACGGGACATTTCAAAGAATTGGAACGAAACATATCTTCCACGCGATTCGAGATATTGCAAGAATTATAAATGGACTGTGGATATTAATGCAAATATATATACCTATTGGTTAATTTGCAGAAGCTGAAGTCAAATATAAATTTGTTTATTTTATTAAGTTGATTGTTACAATTATTCTATTTTTATATATTCTGGTCTCCTCTAAACGAACTATTAGTCTGCTAATTCCGGCCTTGAATGGTATGTCGACTATATTCCAGCTCGGAAAAATACTTAATGCGGAATATATTTTTCTACAATCATTTACACTAGTTTGATTTTTTTGCGACTTTAACTTGTCATTGATTAATTTTTGATCGCGTGTCATATTTAAAACATCAGGCAATTGATGCATTGTCGTATCCGTTCCACATCAAATAAAAAACTTCGCATATAAAATAGTGCATCCGACTTTCAACTTATAAGATATCGTCGTGCAGGTAAACTAGCATTTGCGGAATTTAATGGTATCCATGTCAACCTTCTGATAGCAAACCTATTAAAACGATACAGTGGCACTGAAGATGTTCCATGGTTTCTAATAGAATTTCCCGGATTATTTCGTACTTCCACTGATTCCATATACGCTTTATGATCCGACTGGGACGACCATCGAGGGAAATATTTACGAACCACTCCATGAAGAGGCAGACATAAGAAAAACATTTTTAAAAAAAAGGGATGAGGAGCCGGCGCCTCTGGCGCCCATTGCGTAGTTCCAGACGCGTCTCTCCTAACGCATGTGCGTATTAACACTCAACAAAACAACGCAAAAGTAAGCGGGAAAATTGCTCAAGTGTCGTTAATTTTTGATAAAATTTTACCTCATGACAACGTTGCATCTTTAATACTTTAAAATTCCGAGACTTTATAAGAACTTAATGGCGCGCAACACGTGGAAACCTACAAACCTGCTCGCACCCGAGCAATTTCTTTCTCTTTATTAGAACTTCACGTATTATAGGGTCGCGTAGAAAGTTTCTACGTTTCTCACAGAGTAAGTCGACTACGACCTATTGCATAATTCATTAGTAGCTATTCTTTTGTACATAATTACAGTAAAAACCATAATTCGAATACTTTTCGTGTGTATGTGTAATATCAAATAAGCCTGATCATATTTATTGATTTTAAATAATGTATTTCCTGTGGCCATTATAGTTGCAAATGTACCACCATTGTTCGTACATATATTTTCATGTATCCACACGTATTATTTGTTCTGCTTCGCATCTATAATTAAACTGTAAGGCCTTTAGTAATTAGTCACGTATCAGTTAATGAGACGTAACAGCCATGCGAAGGATAGAAAATACAGGTAAAGAGGTTAAACGTGTCACGGTGAATATATGCGAACAGTTTTGTAGGCGATTTTCCTGTAGTACATACACATATACCTGAATGTAGAAGACGTATGATCGCTTCCATTATTGCTGAAAATTTGCGATCGAAAGAGGAACACTTTTGTTTCTGTCTTACCAAAATAATATGTAATATATGGAAATAGCTCCCACGACAAACTCATCGACGTTCTCATCAGATAAATATTCAAGGTCGTATCTCCGAATACATAGGAGATCCTCTTTATTATCTTTTGTATTCAGAGACCATGTGACCTTGAACATTATTGCGTTATGCGTCACACGATTCTCGCTTCTTTAAGGTAACAAAATAATGCCGAACATTTATCATAAAGAATTTAAAAAATCTATTTCATTCTATGAATTATTAAAAAGAAAATTTCATAATTTAATTTTCATTCTTTATTGTTCTAGTTACTTCTTTAAATCCACAAGCGTTGTTTTAATCGACACTCGCGTTGAGACACCGCGTACAACAAAAGATTCGTCAAGAATGCAAAATGTCACTCAATTGATTCCTAACGGTGGACAAGAAAAAAATATCGGTTGACCATGATATTCCCGATACATCGAATTAACCATCGAGTGGTAAACAGAAAGAAACGAGCCAACGCTCCGAAATCAAACTTTTCATGGAACTGGCAATACAGGAGATATTGAAAAAAAAAACATTACAACCTATAAATTCGTGCTGAACTCCAGACATTAGTGATACACTATTTTCTTTCCTTATATAAAGCCTAATATTGATCAACTATGACTGCATACCTTGTATCTTAAATTTAATAATAATAAATTGAAGTCAAAAACTTATCACCACGCAATGCTGCCTACGCGTCGACTGTAGGCGAACACGGTGAACGGTGCACTTGCTACAGTTATTATTGTCGCTAAATCAAAACCCCCCACTGGAACCCTCGTGGCGACATAGCTTTCCTGTTAAAGTAGAAAGTATCGTAACGTATTCCATGAAAAGGATCGGACGGATGTATTTTCTCAATGGTAGGAAGAGGGGAGAGCAAACGTATGGCGAGAAAGGTTTATGACTCGAAAAAATTGGTGACGAGAAGTGATCGAATGAGAAACAGGAAGAATCAGCGCGCAGATAGATCGTAGTTTCAAATCTGCCATAAACCAACATTACCAACTTCTCTAGTGAGAAACGTTTTTGTACACTTCATAAATCGAACAATGCTACGTAACTACACAATTGCTACAACAAGATACACTGAGACAATACGGCTAATAACAATCACGTTCATTGTGAGAGATTCAAAGGTATGACGTAAAACAGGAAGGTTCGAGAGACAAAGAGAAAAGGAAAGATATACTTGTCTCAACAAAACCGAATGTCATGATATTACCATGACATTGAAATAAAATGACGACTTCGATAATACGATGCTCCGAATGATTAGCCATTCAGTAGAGGAGAAAGAGATACATATGCTTATTATACTTCCGAGACCCTGTTACGTATGTACACAAAGTATTTCACGCGACATGTACACCTTGTAAATTATCACGACGAGACACAACATACGTGCATCAGAAAGGAAAGGAAGCAGAGAACGAGGGAAATTGTTCTTTTTGTTTTAATTTGCAGTCATGCTCAGTGAAATTGTGTAGCAGTGTGCGTTTATCTGTTTTTTAGTTTCTTGGTTTCTCTCTGTCGCACCTTCGCCGTGGTCTTTTTTCGGCAAAAGGCCACGAGACAGGCCACCATCGAGACTGCGCCGCGAAAGAGAACGCGTGTAGCGTGCAACAAGTTGAATCAAGAAGAGACTCACTGAACTCGTTGTCCGCGAAGCTCGGGTCGACTGCGTAGAGGGCCAGCAGCAACAGGATGCACAACCATCCGCTGGTAGCTCGAACACAGCCACGGTTAAAGCACCACCGTTCACACGCCATATTTACGGAGCAGTTAAACTCTCTTGTGGTACACGAATATATAAATCCGTGTGGCTCCGTTCGTGTCACGTCTGCCTCGCACAAGGCGACTCACGAGACGATGACGGAAGGATGAACGAAGAGAGGGGGCCCGGAGACACGACAGAGACAGAAGGTGAGTGACAAATGAAGACAGAGGGAGAATGTTAGAGAAAAATGACGCAGCCACGAAAAATACAGGAACGCAAAAGAACCAGAAAATCGCGATAGACAAGAAATGTTTCACGAATTTTCTTGTCGCTATGGAAAGTTCACCGCAGTGTTCACTACTGTCACCGAGAAATAATCTTCTTTTTATTTAGCAAACTGTGTACGAGAAGGCGAAGAGACAGGAGGTTGAGAACTTTGTTCGGACGCGTCTTTAAACCGGTACCGGACGAACGTGAACGACGACGACGATCACTTGCGACGAGAACGGCATGTTGGCTCTCACTGGCTCATCGCCCCCGTCGTGTTGTACGTTGTACCTCTGCCACTCTCCCGGGGGAGTTCCGTTACGTTATCTAGATAATTGAAAGATTTTCGACTCAAGATAATGGCGGAGCCAATCGAATTGTCGCTAACACTCTACGCTTTCAATATTTCAAGTACAAAATGTTTATAGTAAGGTCAGTCATATGAAGATAAATTTGAAATGCCTTGGTTAGTAAATAAAGATGAGTCTTTTAAATGTATTGACATATTAATAAGATATATTTTCGTTCAAATTAAGATGTTATGTTGATGCTCCGAAAAATAATTTAGTCACGATAATAAAAAGAAAAAACTAGCGAAATAAGAAAACCATACTTGTGTCTTAAATGTTTTTAAATCTCTCAATATCGTTCAAATTTTTATTAATATTGTAATGTACATAAGTCGTAGCGCTTACAATTTACGCCGATAATGAAGGCCCCTATACTCTCGGAAGACGATAAAGAATGATTTATCTTATTTTAATATTTCTTCATCAAATTCTTCCAATCTAGAGAAATTGTCGCTCGTTAAAGATAAGCAAGACATTTCAGAGAACGATGTTTCATCAAAAATATGCGATTGACAAGGAGAGACAGGAAGGACCTTCGGTTGACCAAAATTTTCATCAGATGTTAGATTATTAATCATGATGTGTTGATCAAATATAGTCTGTGTAAATAATAATTTTATAAACGAATAAATAGATCATAATTAAGAAATTTTCTCAATAATATTTTAAGACACCAATAATTTATATTTACTGTGAAACAAACTTTATCCATAAATGTTCTGTGGAACTGTTGTTCGTAATTATTATCAGATGCAGAATTCAAAACGGCATTAACTTGCAGTATTTGTTCATTTTTTTTCTTTATCATATATGCTCTATTTGTTGTTCTGTATATATACTCTAATTCATCAAATGCATTTAATGACAAAATAAGCTTAGAGTCTTTAATCCTAGCATACTCATCTTTTTCTTGAATTTCTTTTTCTCTTTTTATAGACTGTATTATCATCTTCTGTACTTCTTTTAGTAATCTACCCCATGAATTATATCTTTGGGTCATCAAAAATATTGCTTGACCATCCATACCAAGAGGAGTAGTCCCAACTTGCTCAAAATATCTACCTACTTCTACCCATACTTGTCCTAACTTTAATTTAAAATACAAATCTGTGATAGATATTGTTATCTGAAATAATATTTTAAATATGTTATAATAAAATTTTCAGAAACATTTTATCTAGCACTTACTCTATCCTCCATTGGAAGATCATGGTACATTATTTTGTAATGCTGCTTTGCCATTTCAAACCTCTCATTGTCTCTTTCAATAATTTTTCTAATACTATATATCTTTGATCTAACTGAACCGACCATATCATTTATTGCTGGACTAATGTGTCCACAGAGTTTTCTATCATAAGTTTCTAACCACTGTTTCCTGCTCATTTCGGGAAATTCTTCATCTAGTTTACAACAAATAGAATAAACATATTGAATACTTAAATATACCATATGATGATAATGAAAATTTTTGACAGTATTGTAATTTGCCTTCCACAGAACCATCTGAGCATCTTTTTACTTGAAGTCGGATTTCTTCTTCTCTCCATATTGTTGCTAATAAGGACATTAATCCAGTTTTCTTATTGATTCTTCTCCATGTACACAAATAAGCACCACAAAAATAGTTTTCACACATATCGGTCAAAATAGTAAGATATAAACGCTGAGAAGTGTATGGGACAACTTCGATAATGTCAAGAATAACATATATTGCTCCACTTTCAATGAATTTCTCAAGATTTTTGGAGCACCACACTATACACTCCCAAATATATGAACCTAATGCTAATAAAAGACTACCAAAACTCTTTATATCGTGATATCTTATAAGATTGCTTGTATAGTAAACATAAACATTACCGTTGATCTACTTGAATTTCTGTGTCCTTCTGGTACAAACATCGGAAAAGTAGTTCCATAACAAATGCAATGCTTTGATCTCCATATACCTCTTGATAAAATATTTGGTTTTTTACAAGTCTTTCAATTGAGACTAACATATGTGTTAAAATTTTTTGTTCCTTCATTGTAATTTTTTTAAAAGTTAAAACATGATTAATCACTCCTATATAATGTTAAGAATAATCTTGTTGTACTATAGGATGTAAACTGAGTAGTAATTAGCAAAATCAATATTAATTCACTAATATAAAACTAACTGATTAATGAAACTGCTATTCCATGTTCTCTAAGGTTTTCTAATAAAAAAGTGTTATCACTTAAAACAATTACGCAGATTGTTTTTGTGCAATTCATTACTATATCTATATCAAATTTTATGCTTAAACTCCAATCCAATAGCATTAATAATCTACAAAGATATTCAATTGTTTTATAGTATAAACAATTATAATTTTTACTCTTTTTTAAAATTAAATTTCAAATACCTAATAGTACCATCATATTCTACAAAATCTTTTGGCATTTTTGGTGTTAGCACAGATAAAGCATTAATAGCATATGTCCATAAATTCCAAAATTGGGATGCACTCCAAGTAATTTTTGAATATTCAACATTTGGATTAACAAGCTGAAGTATAGTACCCATCAGTTTCCTATCTGTCATTAACTGTTAAAAAGATACTAAACAATAAGCATATTCTTTATAATTCAGTATGGACTATAAATTAGTAACATGATTACAGAAATACAGGCATCAATTTGGGATAGATGAATAACAGTTAACAATAAGATTTTTTGGAAAAATAAATCTTCATTAGTTCTGCCAAATTTTACTGTTTCAGAAAATACTCTCACAAAACCAGTCTCAACAGCTACCAAGAACTTGATAACATTATCTGCTATACCACTACTAACAAAATTCCAAGAGGGAAATGAAATTAAAATTGCAAGAATAATGACTGCAATTTCATTTCTGATTTTTATACTGGCTTTTCTATATTGGCTGTAGAATATTTGTCGTTCAAATGTGTAACTCAAACCCCTGTGTAATTTAAATTAGTTTTATATTATTGATCTATACATGGATTGTGTATCTGAAAAATTAATTTTTTGTATCAAATTCAACAATTTACCATAAAGCACAATGCACACATGTTACAGTTTTATTTAAATTCATAGACATATCTTTAGAAGAAAGAATAGATCTTATCAGACTCCATAAAGTGTTCATTATTAAAAGAGTTGCATCTTCAGTATATGCACCTCCTAATAGTAATGAGTCAGGTGGCCGTGTGCAACGTAATTGAGTGGAATAAGCAAGATCCATTCTAACAAATATTATGTTAAGTACACCAGCTTCTAACATTCTGTGAGCTTTGGTGAACATTGTATATGTATAAGTGCTTAAAGAATAACCATTTTTTCTACTCATATATAAAATTCATATTACTTACAGCATATACGTGAGATAGATGAAAGTAAAAATACTAATTCCAAAATTTTTAAGTACATCGGTGGAAGAGAAGCTTCTAGTGACTGAATTACAAATGCTGACAGTTTTGATTTTTCCATACCTCTGTGACAGAACTCAAGCTTAACTGCTGCAACATTTGTTGCACTTCTTTTTAATAATAAGGAATGCAGAGCTTTATGAATTTTTAGCACTTGTTCTTTTGTTGGTAATATTAGAAGAAAATGTCCTAATAATGTAAAATACTGTTCCATTATATTACAGTTATCTATAACTTCAGAAGACCTTTCTAGTAAAGGTGGGAAATTACAGAGTTCCAACATTTCATTAAGATATGGTTTATATTCTTTAACTGATTTAACATTTTTAGCCAGAAACTCTAATATCTTCATTATATTTGGCAAGTCTTTTACCTTCTACAGATGTTTTTAAGGAAATATTCACTAACAAAGGAAAGAAAACAAGCACATATATAATACATATAATTTGTTCAAAGAAATGAATTGTTTTGAATAAAAAGTCACTTTATAAATGGAAGGATACATAACCATTATTTTCTATTTCATGAATATATTCATACAAAAGTCTACAAATGCGAGGAACACTGTCCTTTGTCACAGGATCGGCTATAAGTTCATGCAATTTATTCAAAGTTTTACTTATGTCAATCTTCGAATGTTTCTTAAAATCAAATATTTTTTTCGGTAATTTATTAGTGTCAGGACACGTGCGAATATGTTTTGGGCAATAGAATTCTTCCCAAACATCATTCGTATTCAACTTATCAAAGTTTTGATCTTTAATTTCTTTCTCCTCAGTGTTCATATCGGATATCTTCTTTGTAAACAATTAAATACATAAAAATTAAATACTTAAAAAATGTAATAAATTTGATATTATATCGTTTCATGAACAACGTATGATTCGGTAATTCGAGAAACTTGCTTTTCGCAAACCAAGTAATTAAGTAATTGTAATAGGATTCGAATATTGTGTAAATTATCAAGGAATTCTTACCTTTGTTTTGCAGTGAGTGTCAAACATATTTCTCGATAAAAATTGAATGCAATCCAATCCAATAACAACGAACGGTATTATATTCTCGCTAAAAGCATATTAAAATGTGGCGGACAAAATGTGAAAAAAAACGGTCACCAACATAGTGCTGCCACCTGCCGTAGCATTAACAAATTGAATCACAGGTGGCGTTTAAACTAAAAGTCGCGCCGACTCGTTATTGCTTTAATTTAGTTCAAAAATTTTCCATCAAAAACACCTTTTATAATATATTTTACTACACCAATGTTTACCTGAAATTTGATAGAATATAGCATATAGAAATCCAGAGAAAAACGATATAGCTTGTACGCAGAATAATAAGAAATATCGTATATAAAAAGTTGACCGCTGTCGGATTCCTGCACACATACGCAAGTTCATGAATGTGTTTGGCTTGCGTTCACGTGCAGGAGAGAGTTGCAGCAGTCGCCGACGTTGTCGATGGTAGCAAGGTGTGTGCTTGTGTTCTTGTTCCTCGGTTTACCTGGATTTTTCGCCGTATGTGTATGAATTTCATCTCTGACGCGATCGAACAGTTGTTATTAACTATAAATGATTGTAATTGATATTATTCTATGACAGCATCTATAGTTCCGGAAAAGCATTCATTTTTTACAATTATCTAGAAGTGCTCCATTTTGTGCTTTTGATTTTAAATCCATAAAGTTGAAAAAGATATTCATTGTTCATAATAATTCTTTATCGTGGTTGATATTATACTCATCATACTCTACTATAACTGGTTCAGTGGTAATTATTGTAGAGGGTTCTTACATTCGGTGCATGGAAAGTATAGATACATATATGTGTAACAGTTCGTGCTTGATATGTATACTTTCAAAATAATTTCACGGTTATTTTATCTTTAAAATATGATTATGTTCTTCTAATTCGACAAAACATTCTGAAAGCAAATTTATTATTGAATATGAATATATGAATTATATTCTGTACGGTAGCTCTCATTATAATTTATCTCCATACAATCAGATTGCCAAAAAATAATTATAATTTCTTGCGTCATTAATCCTTGTATTGTATTCTTATATTAACTGCGTTCATATTTTCTCCATGTAATTAATTATCCGAGGAATTATATTTCCATCGACATTCGAAGTGAAATAAATATTTTTCTAAAATCTGCTAGTCAATAATGTGAATCTTGGCTTTGTATGGGTTACTTGAGTACTTAAATAAGAGTGAATTTACTCAGACAGTTATCACGATCCGTAAAGTTCATATTGATCAAGTAGTTCTCAATATACACTAGAATTATCACAGTTACAGTTGGACGTCGAACGATTGGAGTAGAGAGAATTTTGTAAAATACTTTCAGGAGTCTTGAACCAGGCAACCGTTCACAAAAAAGAAGCAATCATCACGTAAACCGTGGATCAGTGGTTGAAGTGGAGATCGTGGTCGTTCGATCGTCGCTCGAAGTCAATGTCGAGATACACGGTCGCAGGTAGTCGCCCTCTACTACGCTCGCACGTAAGACTGGTCGTGCGTGTATGGACTCCATACTATGGACTGGTTCGTAGTAGTCGCGACGCTGCCGACAGCAGCTGAAGTGCGTGCATGTCGTTCTTCGTGATACCTACATCGTGCAGTTTTCGCTCGTGTGAATTCTTTCTATCTCTAAGCTTAGCGTGCTCGTGAAGAAAAGCGTGAACAGGAAAAGGATTAATGGATTAATCTGAGAGGCTGGGTGTGACTGGTGATGTGACTAGTATTTGGCGACCTTGGCGGGACGGTGAGTGACCTTTTCGAATGGCACATTCTCGTGACTTGATTTTTCTACAGTATGCGCGGCCGGTGTTCCCCGTACCGGTGTTTTCTCACGGGAAAAATACCATATTAATTAGAACAACAACGCGGCGTGTAACGAGCCACGGCTACAATTACTCTTTCTGAGCTTCCCTTCTGACCCTATGTCTTCCGTCCGAGACACAGGCGCGTTTCTTCTTCCTTTTTTTTTCTTACAAACACTTACATAGAATACAAGCGAAATGCTACCCCATTGTGAGAATGCTATGCACGTAGTTTCTGTTGTTTCGAGCGGTCATCTCCAGGCTAGAGGAGAGGCACTAGAAAAGGCGCGTGTGTTTCTTTTCCATATACCTGTCAAAAGAACATTCTTGGCATTTAGTGTGCGCTCGCCGTGACTCCATCATATTTCATTCTACCGTCAATATTTTTTCTAGCGTGAGAGTATCGCACGTTTCTATGCGTTAGAATTTATGAGCACGTTTGATCGATCGCAGATACAACGTATTCGTGACTGATTGTCTTTTGTACTTGGAGAAGCGTCTGCAGACACATGCATCGAAAATCGTTTGATTGGATAGGGGAACGTTGTAACACTAGCAGAAGACCCGAATAAGACGAATAAGAAGCCAAAAAATGCTGCGTTAGAAAAATTTAGATACGGTGATGCGAGGGGTTAGCAGACTCGTTTCCCTCGAGCCGGCGAATCAATATTTGGAGGGTAAGCGTCCCGACGACTGTCGGCGTCGAAGCTGCGGAACGTGAGTCACTCACCCCTGATTGCGAGGGAGAAAGAGAGAGAGAAGGACGACTCTTCTCTTTCACCCTCTCTTCTTGTATCGCGTTCGAGTCGAGACGACTCGACCCGATATAATGCGAGAAGATTGCAACAACGAGACAACGCGACGCGACGCGGAAGTTGTCCGCGAATGTTACCGATTTCACGTTCCACATAGCTTATACTTTTATCAATTTTCGGCCTCATCGGTTTTAAAATGAAATAAACGGGGCGCGGATCGTTAGGAGGATTATTATTAAACACATTCGCTGTAAAATATTTCCAGGATGATATCGAAAACAAGCGTTGTCTCCTTTGTGGTACTTAGCCGACGACGAAATTAAGAAATGAAGGCGTATCGAATCTGTCGTCGCGGGATTTCGCTGCGGTTTAATTAAGACACTTACGGATTTTCGGATTCCCCGGCGCAGTCGTAAGAACGGTACGTTAATTTACGGCCTTTAAAGACGCCCGTGCACGCATACGAGCGTGAAATGTATGCACCTAACTAAACCCGTTTGAGGGAGCCACACGGTGGGAACAGGTTCCATAAAATTGAGCGTTCTTCCGTAGAACTTTTATCTGCGGCCAGCATCTCTCTTCGTAGCGTAGTTGCATCGATGTGGAAAGCACATCGGGCCCTTCGTAGATTTTTTCGGTACTAGAAGAGATCGACATAACGGAAGCTGGGAATAGAGTGTTTGCTACTGTTCTGTATCTCACGTTCTTACGAGATTCCGAATGCATTAAAAAAAATTTCTTTAGCATTCGAGCGGTTATCTTTATAGGAAGTTGCATGTGCCTCTGATAATAGCTTTAATGTTTCTTTTTTGCTTAAGAAATGTATTGTCTCTTATTTACACCGTTGAAACGCAACGATGGTATTGATGTAGGTCATAAAACGTATTAATAAGTTGAAACACAGTTGATTCTAATAATGAGAATTCTGGCGTCGTTTTAAACCTATTCCATGACGACATTCAAGATTTCTTCCGGAGTAAGATCTCCCTGTGTCATCACCACAGTTTGAAGTAGGTAGCGGTGACCGACAATGCTTGAGAAATCAATGAAGCACACTATACCATGTTCGAGAATAGACGGTCGGCGCCTCTCCTTTTTCCGATTTTACCGCTCACCGTTACGCGAATATAGTTTCTCGTACCGCGTAACGGTTGTTATTGTAACTACCCCGTAATCACTAAGCCACTGTTAGCTTCTCGTCTGAGTGCTTTCAGAGGAATTCATGTTTATTCGTCGGAAAAACTACTTTACTATTCAAATCCATCGGCTTCAGCCTGCACAGTCATCCTTCTAGTAGAAAGTTTCTTCCGAATAGGTCCTTTCTTCTATGTTAGCACTTGAGGAAAGGAAACCGAAAGTGTGAAACCTCGTGAATGACGAGTTGCGAATACGTACAGATAACTTGATTGATAAATCACCTTTAACGTTCGCCTTCCGTATTTGCAGTAGAACCGAGTTTGCGGTCCATTCACTTCTTCCAAATCCAATAATATAAATGAAACTCATCTTATTTTCCCGCACGTTGCGGCACACTTAACAGATCAAATGATTAATATCGATACAATGTCAACTGGAATGATTAGACGAGGTTGAGTACCTCTCTTTTAGGATGTTTGTTACCACGCGTCGTAAACAACAAAATATACGAAGTGTATTTGCACATTCAAGATTACTATAAATATATTCGTCGAGCTGATAAACGAAAGAAAAAAAACTCATTTATGCGATGAATGGTATACTAATTGTTAATATCTAAATCCAATTAATAGCTACTGATGATCGCAATTTCAATTGAAACTCGCAAGAAGAAACACGACTGAGGTCCCAGCCGTGATCTTGCGCACGTCTGTTGCAACCTTGAACAACAGAGAAGGACCGTGTACACCGGTTGTTGTAATAGGTGTGCGGCACGTCCCTTGCGTGTTCATTCGTCAAGCGAGTAGATTGAACGTAGAGTCTGGTCTCCATGGCATCGGCCAAAAACACCTTCAGGCTATCGGAGGAACTCGAGCCGCAGCCGCCGCTTCTCTTTCCGAGAAAATAATTCCTCCCTAATTTGGGCGACCTTCATGAGCCGACCGGAGGAACCGTACGTAATCGTAATAAGGCACGGGATTGTCGGTCGAATGGGATATTCGTCCGAAAAACCAGCGGGACCCGATCGAGAGAAGCCGATTATGATAATGATACCGCGTTAGTCTTCCAGAATCGTCCGCGTCGTGTGTAATTTTTTCGATGTTCTCGCTGGGGGATTTTCAACGTCATTCCGGGAACGATCAATGTCGGTTTATGGCCGGTACCGAATGATCGAGTGATTTTTTTCATCGAACCATGCGGTCAATAATGAAGGTAGTTTTACGGTCGATTTTTGTAATATACTTGCTCGTTCTTTTTCTGATTCTTTATCAGTCACGGGAACGATCAGAATGCGTGGAGTCTGCGTACAGCCCTTTATCCCGTGGAAACCTTCGGTTCACGGTGTAACAAGATTGAAAGGATTTGCTGCATCAGTATGTACTCGGGCTTGACCGAAGATTATCGCGGTATTAAAAGATTGTTATGGAGGATTTAAGAGACGATTACAATTCGGTGACGAGCACGAACTATGTCGCGTAAAATATTTCCTTGTTTATGTGTCCCGAAGCAGTACATAATATTGTAGATTAGACAAGGGCAGGGGAATGTCTTTGATAGCCTTGGCCATAATCTTTGATGCCACGTACAAGCTATTACTTGTCAAATCTCTCACGATTTGATGCTGTCGTTGTCTATTAGAGAGATAGTTGCAATTGAAAACTTACGAAGGGAAGAATGTGCTCTATTAACTGCAGAATAGATACATCGAATAGCCAACAGTTGGGTATCGAAGTGATGGAGGTGTTTCAAAGATTGGCCGCTATTATCTGTTTTTCGACTCACTTGTTTCTGAAAATAAAAATTAGAAACGCTTGTTTTTTAAATGAAGTAGGGACTACCACGGTGCTAAATTTCACGTGACCTAAAGCGAAACAGCTGGTCCGTCATCCGGAAAAATAAGAAAACGGGAGTCAGTCGTGTAATCCAGGTAAACAGACGCGTCGACGCGGCAAAACAGTAAATTGGATCGACGATCTCTGGAAACAGCAGTAAATACGCTTTATGTCTTTATTAAAAGGGCCACCGAATCGAGTGGTACATTGGTCCGAGGTCGGCTGGTTCCGAGATAACAGGTAGCTCGACGATTCATCGAAGGATTTCTTTCTCTCTCTTTCTCTCTCCCTCTCTTTCGATTAGTCCGGCCAGAAGCCAGATTTTTCGACCGGTTATCCACGGACCTGAAGACCACTTGACCGACTCCGAAATGCGTGAGTCGTTATATGTGTAGCGAGAAGATCTCGAGGCCCGTTTTCGAGCATAATTGGTAGGTTCGAATTCCGGACCCTCTCCGCGAGCTCTCCTCTTGTGTAGATAATTAATAGTTCTTTCGCTGAAAACGACGGAATCCCCATGGGTCGACTCGGGCCACGTTTTTTCCTCTCCGTTCTGTAATCTTTTTCTTTTTCTCTCTCGCTCGTGGTCGAGGAAAATGGATACTCTCGCGTAACGCGGACAATTAATTTCACGTAACCACGGAGCACGCGGTCAGGGGTAAGAATCTCCTGGCGAGAAGATGCTATCGATATCGCGCGCATTTTCCACTGGACGGTTAACCGGAATTTCATAGTCGGCAACGTGTGAGCGGGAACGAGCGTGGAATACAAAGAGACGCGCGTGTGCACCGGCCACGGAATACCACCCGATGGAAGAATGCACTCGACCGTTGGAGAAGGACGAGGTCACGCGCCGTGCAAAATTTTCTTCGCAGATGTTGCAACCGTATGGAAAATAGCTATGATTAGCGTCCGAAAATATTACCGGTTCTCCTTGGATTAATCTCGCGTCGTCTAGACGGAATTATCGGCTCATTGCGGCTGAAATCGACGATATCGTTGGGTAATATATTTTTGGTGTTTATTTTTATCGATTAAATTTGACGAGTATCGTGTTGCAGGTTTTTGTAAAAGAAATTAAACTCTGCGATAAAAGATCGTGCCGTTGACACGTACGCGGTATCAAACTCTTTCAGCGTACGCGTATTTGTCGACTCATTCGAGCTGCTCCGAAGCTAGATTGTTTGGATGATTCGCGTGTATTTCACTGCGCTCTGCACGGTAAGTCTAGAATTTCGTTTTTCACGGATCACGCTCGAAGATCCTTCAAGAGACATTGCTCACGGATCATGCTGGTTCCCAACACTGTGGATCGAAAGCGTTCCCGGTTGCGGCCCCGTTGGATGACCATGCCGTCCCTTCGACGCTCCGCTCCATTTAACTTTTTACTCGAGCGTTTTTTTCCGAAAGCATTGTGCATTAGCGCGCTCACTTTCCGCCTCGAAGCCAGTGTTCGTACAAAGTCCGATTTAATTATCGAATAGCTGAGGGTTGAAACCTGCATTATTTCTACAGGCAGAATGACTGTATAGTATTTCCAGCACGTCTTCTATTACACTTACAGAAAGAAGGTGATTCCACGCGAAAAGAACAGATTAAAATTAAACTCACTTACCGATGAAGATAATAAATAGTAGAAGATTCTGTTCGATAATAATTTCTATCTAAGTCAACGCTTAAGTCCAACTAATCCAGACAGTTTCATAATAAAAAAAACAAGTAATCGTTGTATATACAATATTTAAAAGAAAAATGTTTTTCACTTGGATAAAAAAATCAGTCGTAAAGGGTATAGGGATGTAAGGTATGCGTTCTGAAAGTCGTAGAGCGTAATAAAGGGTTAAGACCGAGCCGGTTTGGCAGAGTACCTTCGACGCGAAGTAAAGGTCATACGCGTCGCGAGGAGCCACTCCGCGGAGCGTCCCTGCGCGCGTTTAAACACCGGCGTCCCTGGACATATCTCCTCGCTTCCTTCTTTTTCCTTCCCGTCGGGTTATTTTCTTCTGGAGGCGAGCAGCCGGCCGGTCTCCGCGGCCGTTGTCTGATGCCCAGTTGGTGGTTGCCCGTGCGCGTCGCGTCGGTTCGATTGGTTCGTGCCGATGCGCCATCCGTTTGGATTGGTCAAACCGGATCGGTTAGCCTCAGGGCGGCAGGGGGAGGGAGGGATCGGAGAAGCGATGCGATGCAACGAAAGAGGCCCATCCGTGCGCTCCGGCTACGGTCAACTAGTCCCTGCGATCTTGAGGACCAACTGCGCGCTCGATTCCAAACGCAACAAAACAAACGGGACGGGAGAAGATAGTCATTGCGAACGGCCCCTCGCGCGTCCTTTACGCCACGTACCTATATATTACGTTCTGCGTACTCTTAAACGCGATTCCACTCGTCGCCGTTAAGGACCTGCTTCTCCGGCAAGTACATACATACGCGCGACTGTTTCCTTCGCATCGACTCGGCCAGCGTTCCTTTCAAATAATAGTAGGCCGTTCCAACTAAGAAAATGCTCACTTATTGAATTAAGAATGCTGTGACCTGTATAGGTATTTTTAATCCCCTGATAGAAATCTCGAGTGGGAATATATTTCATTTACTTAACTCTTGAAAGATTCGACTATAGTAAATACAGTATTAGTACCTGGTCGTAGACGTCTTTTGAAGTAGTAAACGCAGAAAAAGAGGAATTCTGCGAACAGAAAGCAAAGGAAGGGGTTGTAGGACGTGAGAGGAAATAATAATAATTAAGAAAATTAAGGTTGGATCTGAACTATGAACGTGTTTTGGAGACCACGGACCTTTCAGACAAGACTGGGATGTTAACATTAAGCACGAGAAATGATACTGTATGTACATCGACACAATTCTATTTTAGGCTAACTGTTACGCGCTTCCTTTAGATTGTCTCTTATTGTCTGGAACAGCGAATTCTTGTGGTTTTTTCTTTTGGCTTCCAAGAGCGACACGCTTTTTCCCGGGCGGTATGCAATCTTGTATTATTCTGAAGATCGGATGTGGAGCAGCTTGTAAAAATGGTCTTATCCTTACAATCTTGTCAACGACGGGCTTATTTAAACGCGTACGTGTCTCGGGTAATGCTCTGATTTGCATATGCAAACCCGAAAAAACCTCGTTAAGTAGAAGAAAATCACTGCACCGTGGAATATTCAACGGAGGAATGCGGATCGTTGTCCGGTTTAATGACTCCGAGCAGATGCCGCGTTAAAATATTACAACTGTCGAACCGTATATTCGACGAGAGAAGAAATACGAGGAGGGAATACACACGAGAATTACGAGACGCTTTCTGCTGCGTGGATTTTTCTTCTACGCGAGTGGAAATGTTTATCGAGACTGTGCGCTTCGAAAATTACGCGTTTTGATCCGAGGTATAGAATGATTTCCGAGGTATAGAATGATTTTTTTTTACGATGCCGTCCAACGACCAACGAACCGCGTCGCGGACTCGTAGATTGAATGGAGATCATAGAATCACGCTGCGCCGCGTTATTACACACGACCGGTTGGTTCGTTTCTCGAATTGCATCTCCGATTCGAGGATACAAATACTCTTGAGACACCTGGAAATTTGCAAGACCCAAGGTTTTGGTACCAGAAAAGGCTTCGTACAATTATTACTGGATTACGGACACGTTTATGTATAGTGACTCGTTGAAATTGAAACGGCATGGAATTTTACTTTGTCAAGCGTTTGAACATGTAATTTTTGTCGGCTATTAACTTGCACGCTAGACGAGACAGGGTCAACGAATTCACCGTAGAAGGGAACGCCTGAACGAAGAAAGAGGGTGAAACAAACGGAAATCGTTGTTCCCACGTCGTTCTCAACGGGTATCGCATTCTCACACTCGCGGAAGATTTTCTGCGCAAGAAAAAGAGGGAAGCCTACCGCCGCGTTTTCTGAACGATTTACTCCGGCCCCGACGCTGACAAATACGCAGCTCGTTGGGATCGCATTAGGTTGATCCACTAGAAACAACGTATACTTGTTTTACGTTCTTCGTAGTTCGGTTCAAGGGCAGCTAACTTACTCGACGCGTTATATATTTAATTGGAGTAGCCTTAGCGGTATCGTGCGAGTTCGTTAGTTTCGTATGGAACAGGAATTCGAGATTTCTATATTCGAATTAAAAGGAATTCATTTCTAGAAAAACTGACATGCAATTTGCGATGTTTCTATCGTTTGTTCTCGTCTGTTCGTAGATGGAACGCAAGATGATCGCGAGTTGAATTGAAAAGTAGTAACAGTGGTAGCAAGGAACTGTGCAAGGATGGGACACTACTCGTCTACGAGGGAAAAACACGAGAAGGAGCGCGAGCAGTAAGAGGGTGTCTGTCATGGCGAGATGGAAATGGATTCTCCCGATTCTCGCGGCCTTGTGGACCCTGAGCGACGCCTACTTGACGGTACTGCCTTCCAGCACGCCGACCGGTAGCGTGGTGTTCGAGGCTGGTGTGCCTCGGCTAGGTGGTCGTCGGAAGTACGAGGTGTCGAACGAACGAACCGCATGGTTTGCGAGAAAACTCTTGAAGGTCCATCCTCACACCGGTCGCGTAACATTGGCGCGGCCGTTGAGCTGCGATGGCCTTCAATATCCGCGGATCTTCACCTTCTACGTGGACTCGACAAGCTCCCGCCTAGGCAGACCGACCATCGACTATTACAGTTTACCGCTGAGAATTCTGATAACAGGCTGCGGCGGTGAGAACCGCGATCTAGCCGCTACCAGAGGATGGATGGCAGAGACTCTTGCCTCGTACGCGATGCCCAGCGCCGAGAGGTGACTATCGGTTTATTTCGCTTAGCTGTCTCGGGAGGCGAAGTGCTCCCCGTGCGGCCGATCTTCGTTTAGATAACGTCCTGTAATTAGCCGACCGCATTATCGTCTCTAGCCGCCAAAAGCTTTCATTGCTTTATTTTTCATGGTTCGCATTTGCATGACGATGCTCTCGATGGTTAACGCTCTGACTCAAAGACGCGCAACAGTTATCGCGATAAGAGGCATAATCGAATTCCCGTGCTTGTCGACAGGTTCACCGAGGTTTGCCTCCGTACGTCGCAGCTGGTCGCGGCGCTTCGCGACTTCCTACCACAAACAGCATTGAAAGAGTGCGAAACCAGATGGGGTGGTGTAGCCGATCCGAGGTTTCTAATCGAGGGCGCGGCGGGTGATTTGGTCTCGGCCACGGAGCAATGCCTGGTGGACCCGCTCTGGAAGATCTCCGTGTCGATGAACCTCAGATGCGGTATGGAGTCCCGATTGACCGACGCTGAACACCGTTTGAAGATCGTCTTTCATCATCGTCAATTGGACGACACGGATTTGGGTAGACGGGTGAGGAGAGAGCTGAAAAATCAATCCCCCTACTTCGAGCAGCCCCTATACACTGGAGCGGTCGAGGAGGAGAAAGAACCGGGGGTGTATGTCACGTCCGTTCGAGCCAGGGACCCCGAGGGTGGAACGGTTCGATACTCCATGAGCTCTCTTCTCGATGCTCGATCTCAGTCCTTGTTGTTTCTCGATCCTGTCACCGGTCGGGTAACCACGCGGGCGAGGTTAGACAGAGAAAGCGTGGACGTCCATTATTTTCGAGTGCTCGCCGTGGACGATTCGTTTCCCCCGAGAACGGGCACCACCACGCTTCAGGTGAACGTTCTCGACGCGAACGATCACGCCCCGAGCTTCGAGTGGCCGGAATACTCCTGTCCATCAGCAGCGGCAACGGTATCGCGAGCACAGAGGACGCTCTGACTTTCAGAATAGATCCTAGATCGGGGGTGGTCACGACGCGCACGCCTCTTGACAGAGAAAAAACGGAAGTGTACACGGTGATTCTGAGCGTGTCGGATCAGGCAACCCCACCGTCCGCGAGGAAAACTGCCAACGCGACCTTGGTCGTCCATATTGTCGACGATAACGACAACTATCCTCAGTTCACCGAGCGTACGTATTCGGTATGGATACCGGAGGATCTGGATTACACGGCCAATCCTGTAGTAGCTCGTATAAGAGCTGCGGACGCGGATGCGGGCAACAATGCGGCGGTTCGCTACGCGATAATTGGTGGAAACACGCAGAACACCTTCTCGATAGACTCTATGAGCGGTGACGTCGCTCTGGTTAAACCTTTGGATTACGAGTCCACGAGGAGTTACAAGATCGTAATTCGCGCCCAAGACGGTGGTTCGCCCGCTAGATCCAATACCACGCAATTGCTGGTGCACGTGAAGGATGTGAACGACAACGCCCCGCGATTTTATACCAGTCATTTTCAGGAGTCCGTTTCGGAGAACGTGCCCGTTGGGTACTCGATGTTGAGGATACAGGCTTACGACGCCGACGAAGGCGCTAATGCCCAGATCAAGTATACAATCGGAGCTAGGGACTTCTCTGGAGCTTCCACGGAGAACTTTCCTATTACAGTGAACACCGAGACTGGCTGGATCTACACAACGAAACAGCTCGACCGCGAACAGTGTTCTAGGTAGATATTTTATTTTCGTTTACCGAATGGCTACACCTTGTCAGCACATCTGATGCGATAATCGACCGATGCAATTAATTAATCGATTTATCTGCTTAGGTACCAATTCACCGTAGTAGCCGCAGACTCGGGCGAAATGTCGAAATCTGCTAGCGCCACTGTGATAATTACGGTCACCGATGTCAACGACAATGATCCGTACTTCGACCCCAAGAATTACGAAGCAGTTGTCTCCGAAGACGATCCACCGGGTACTCCAGTTACTTCTGTGACGGCAACCGATCCCGACGAAGACGCCAGGATACACTACGAGATCACAGCTGGCAATACCAGGGGTCGTTTCTCGATTGCGTCTCAGAATGGACGGGGCTTGATTACTGTAGCCCAACCACTCGATTATAAGCAAGAGAAGAGATTCGTGTTGACCGTTACAGCCTCTGACAGCGGTGGCAGAACAGACACGGCCCTGGTTTACGTCAATATCTCGGATGCAAACAATTATTCACCTGTTTTCGAAAACGCACCATACTCCGTTTCCGTATTCGAGGACGCTCCTATCGGCACCACGGTTTTAGTTGTTAGCGCGACCGACTCTGACGTTGGAAAAAATGCTCAAGTTACGTACAGCTTGGACACCGACACCGGTGACCAAGGTGCATCCGAATTTACGATAAACCCTCAAACGGGAGCCATAACTACCACCCGACCGCTCGATCGGGAACTCGTTCCTGCCTATTTGTTGACCGTCACAGCTAGGGACGGCGGTGTACCGCCCCTCTCTGACACGACAGACGTGGAGATCTCAGTCACGGATGTGAATGATAATTCTCCGACCTTTGAGGCTCCACAGTATCAGGGTTCTATTCCGGAAGACGTACTGGTCGGCACTAGTGTCCTGAGGGTTTCTGCCACCGACGCGGACACGGATCTCAATGGAAGGGTAAGGAGTCTTTGAGCGGCATTGTTACGCTTGGGATTTATTGTTCTCGAGTGACCTTTGTAATATGCTGTGTCTGAAGTGGACTTAAAGCGGTACCAACTAGGGTGCAGAATGAAGTTGACACTTTAAAACTTATGACCCCCTTACGCTTGGGATTTATTGTTCTCGAGTGACCTTTGTAATATGCTGTGTCTGAAGTGGACTTAAAGTGGTACCAACTAGGGTGCAGAATGAAGTTGACACTTTAAAACTTATGACCCCCTCCCCCCCGACCAGAAAGTCTGATTATTTTTTTATTTTTTTGAAACGATAACTAATGAAAAATCTGTACTGAACAAATATTACGTATAGTCATTTGTTACTTCGGAAATTGAGTCAGTTAACTTTTGATGCATGTAAACCATTTAGACACATCTAAAATGAGTCCCTCCATTTGATATTTTTTATTGTAATTACATGCATAATACTTACGAAGAAAAATTTATGTTTATTTTAATTTTTCCAATACTTGTATAATTATTAGACTGCGTATATTTATGCAAATTTACGATTTTGGGCACTAATATAGAAAAAACAAAACTCCACCAAAATTGTTTTTCTGTACTATGAATTTTACTATGTTAATAATAATACACAAGTAATATTAAATCTTACATAAACACCCGCAGTCTAATAATCAATTATAGTGAAACTCTGCACCCATACAATTATAACGTTCCATCTGTTCAGGTTCGATACGCATTGGAGGATGACGGTGATGGAGCTTTTGCAATAGATTCAACCACTGGCATAGTTAGAACGGCTAAGCCACTGGATAGGGAGTCTGTTGCAAGGTACACCTTAAAAGCCGTGGCCATTGACAGAGGTTCCCCTTCTCTTTCTTCTGTGGTGCCAGTAGTTATCAAGATCGAGGACGTGAATGATTCCCCGCCAGCTTTCGAAAATGACAAAATTGTCCTTTACATTGCTGAGAATTCTCCCATTGGTTCAACCGTTGGTGAAATCTATGCCCACGATCCAGACGAAGGACCGAACGCCGTCGTGCAGTACTCGGTGATTGGAGGCGAAGATTCGAACAGCTTCGTTCTGAATATCAGACAAGGCGTAGATCGCGCGGAACTAATCACCCTCGAGGAATTAGACTATGAATCGCCGAAGAAAAAGTTCGAATTAGTGGTGCGCGCAGCCTCGCCTCCATTGAGGTCAGACGCCTTGGTTCAGATCTTGGTTACCGACGTCAACGATAATGCACCGGTATTGAAAGACTTCCAAATAATTTTCAACAACTTCAAAGACTTTTTCCCCACCTCACCGATCGGAAAAATACCTGCAGTAGACGCAGACGTCACCGACAAGCTGACGTACACCATCCTCGCCGGCAACAACGCGAACTTAATCGATTTGAACCAAACCACTGGAGAAATTCGACTGTCCCCCCAATTAAATACGAACGTACCACGCATCGCTACCATGGAGGTATCCGTCACGGACAGCATCAACGAGGTCAAGGCTACCATGACTCTCTCTGTGCGACTAATCACCGACAAGATGCTTTTGAACTCGATCACCGTGAGATTGGACGACATGACCGCCGAAGCTTTCCTCAGTCCTCTGTTGGGATACTTTCTAGACGGTCTAGCAGCGATTATTCCATGTCCCAGAGAAAATATATTTCTCTTCAGCATACAGGAGGACGCGAACGTTCATGGAAAGATTCTGAACGTGAGCTTCTCCGCGCGCAGGGTCGAACCAGGCGTGACGGATGAGTTTTATAGCCCGCAATTCCTCCAAGAACGTGTATACTTGAATAGAGGCATTTTGGCCAGATTAGCTACGGTCACGGTATTACCATTCGACGATAATCTTTGCGTGCGGGAACCTTGCTTGAATTTCGAGGAATGCTTAACCGTTCTGAAATTCGGCAACGCCTCGGGATTCGCCAGCAGCGACACGGTACTCTTTAGACCGATATATCCGGTGACAACGTTCGCATGCAGGTGCGCGAAGGGCTTCACCGGAAGCAAGGAGTCTTATCTGTGCGACACAGAGGTCAATTTGTGTTACTCGAATCCTTGCGTGAACGGTGGCACCTGTTATCGAAAGGAAGGCGGGTACGCGTGTTCCTGCAGCCCCGAGTATGCAGGAAAGAACTGTGAGATCTCGCTGGACGAAGACTCGTGCGCTCCAGGGATTTGCAAAGGAGGTTCTCAATGCATCACCAAAACTACCAGAGGTTTCAGTTGTGAAGGCTGTCCCATCACAACTTTAGAAAGCGTGACGCCGCTTTGTGAGTTAAAAGCTCGCAGCTTCGGACCCGCAACCTTCCTTACGTTCGCTTCGTTGAGACAGAGACATAGATTGCACATTAAGTTGAGGTTCGCAACCGAGGCGGCCAATGGACTTTTACTTTACAACGGTCGGTACAACGAAAAGCACGACTTCATAGCCTTGGAGATCGTAGAATCGCAGGTACAGTTCAGTTTTTCACTCGGAGATGAGATCACGAGAGCGATGGCTGCGATTCCAGGCGGGGTTTCCGACGGGCAATGGCACGAAGTGGAGGTCTCGTACATAAACAAAACCGTGACAATTTCACTGGATAATTGTGACGTCGCTCTAGCTCTGGAATACGGCGAACGGCTTGGCTCAAAATGGTCATGCGCGGGTAAAAGCGAACAGGTGCTCGAGGAACGCTGTAACATCGTCACCGAGACCTGTCACAGGTTCTTAGATCTTACAGGGCCACTACAGCTCGGTGGTTTGCCTGCTATTCCTTCTAGCTTTCAGATTAGAAACAAGGACTTTGTCGGTTGTATCAGCGACCTATTCATCGATCACACTTTCATCGACCTGAACTCCTTTGTGGCCGATAATGGTACGAACCCTGGTTGTCCGGAGAAGACTACATTCTGCATGTCCATGCCTTGCAAGAACAACGGCAAGTGCAAAGAAATATGGTCCGGATTCGTCTGCGAGTGCAAGGAAAACTTCGCGGGACCTACCTGTGCCGATGAGGTTGACATACCCTGGAGCTTCCACGGCGACGGGATGCTGAGTTTCAATCCCCTGCTGAGACCCATCCAACTGCCTTGGTTAACGGCGCTAAGCTTGAGGACCAGGGTTAAACAGGCGTTCGTGATGAACGTGCAAATAGGTCAGAATAGTTCCGCGTTGTTCGAGATTCGGGATGAAAAGTTGGTCGCCTTGCTGGACGGCGCGGATATCATTCAGACATGGAACAACATAGCGGACGGGGAATGGCACAGGATAGAGATCGTCTGGCAGAGTGGTCAGGTCTCTCTTGACATCGATTATCGTAACAGGCCTATGTCGTCCCCGTTACCAGCTAAGTTGCAAGGTCTATACGTGGGCAGGATCTTGGTCGGTGGACTGGAACAGTCCATGAACGCCGAGCTACCGTTTTTCGACGGTTGTCTTCAGGATATCCGTATCGGTACTAATCAAAGTATACTTCAACGACCGACCGTTCAAGAGAACGTCGCGACCGGTTGCAGCTCCTCCTCGGAGTGCAACGCCGACTGTCCGGAGGCATCGAACTGCACGGCGAAATGGCAGGCAAGCGAGTGCGTTTGCACGGCGGGTCGAGTAGGTCGCGATTGCGAGCGTGTCTGCGACTTGAATCCGTGTAACAACACCGGCACCTGTATCGAGGACCACCACACTCGCAGAGGGTATAAATGCGAGTGCAATTCTCCCGAGTATTCTGGAGAGTATTGCGAGATCAAAGCTGACCAACCTTGCCCGGCAACCTGGTGGGGATCGCCGGTTTGCGGACCATGCCACTGCGACGAGTCCAAAGGCTACGATCCAGCCTGTAACAAAACCACCGGGGAATGTTATTGCAAAGAGAATCACTATCAGCCTTCCGGCAAAAAAGAATGTATCCCTTGCGAATGCTATGCCACCGGGAGCTTCGGTCCCCGTTGCGATACAGAGACTGGCCAATGTAGATGTCGAGTTGGAGTTATCGGACGATCGTGTACCGCGTGTCCTAATCCTTATGCCGAAGTTACCCTTCGCGGTTGCGAGGTGGTGTACGACGGTTGTCCCAGATCGTATGCGGAAGGCCTCTGGTGGCCGAGAACTAAGTTTGGTATGACCGCCGTGGAGGACTGTCCCGACACAGCTGAAGGAAAAACCTCCAGATCCTGCGACGACAAATTGGGTGGCTGGCAGGAGCCTGACCTATTTAATTGCACTTCCGAAGCTTTCATCGAGCAAAGACATCAGTTAGCCGCATTAGAGACCAAGGATCTAACGATCAATACCTATGTGGCTGTTAAGATCGCCAAGGATGTACACAAGGCGATTAATGTCACTAAACACATGTACGGAGCCGATTTGTTGATCGCAGAGTCTTTACTTGTCGCGTTGTTGAAGTACGAGGAGAGTTTGGTCGGACTAAATTTGACTCATAGTCAAGATAAGGATTACGTGTCCCATCTGGTCGGTATTACCAGCGGTGTTTTGAAGGTCAAATATCTGGACAAGTGGGAGAGGATCGAAACGCTTAACAGCGATACTCCTGACAAGGTTCTAGACGCGATGGCGAATTACTTGAAGACACTGACCGCGTCTCAGCACGATACGTTTACCGATCCCTTTGAAGTGGTTGACTCTAACGTCGGTAAGCAAAATTGGAGAAAAAAATGTTTCATTTATAGACATATTGTCGATATCATATGTTCCTACATTTATTATTGTCTTATTCAGTATTGGGCTTGGACGTGGTGACTTCGGAGAGTTTGTTCGGTTACGAGACAGCAGAGTACAGGGAGGATCCACTGGCGTCCACTGCTAGGCCAACCGAGGCTGACCAAAAAGTGGTCTTGCCCGACACTTCCGCGTTTTTATCATCGTCCACGCATTTTGGTCCATCGATAACCTTCCCTAAGTACAATAATTACATGGCGGATCCGAGCAGATTTGATCCACACTCGAAGATACGGGTACCCCTCAACGTATTGGGAATCAAACCATTGGGGCAAGGAGAATTAAATGTCAAGAAAAGTTTGGTCAATCGAAAGGCTGTGCTCAGTTACGTGCAATATAAACAATTAGGTGCCTTGTTGCCTCAAAGGTAAACAATATTGAAGGATAGATTTTCAGAGCCATGTGCAACTTTATGCGTGAAAATAACATGAATTTACGTTGTTTTCGTAGATTCGACGATTCCGTAGAAGTTAGGTGGGGCGTTGAAGTAGCTGTAGGATCACCAGTCGTAACAGTATCCGTATTAGTTCCATCTGAAGACGGTTACGAATCCCTGACTGGTATTCCTCTACAGTCTCCAGTACAAATTAGTCTTTGGCTCAGCGAAAAGGACGATCTTAAGACTAGAACTAATCCACAGTGCGTGCATTGGAGCACAGCTAGAGGGTAGGACAATCACCATTCCCCATACATGATACAGTACTGTCCAATATACATAAATTCTAAAGTCATGAGACCGTTCTACTAAGATTGTGGTTATCAATTTCCCATTTAATTATTATTTCTTAATAATACCTTAGTTTAGGTATTGTATTTGTCTATAAATTTCAGGGTTGGTGAATGGAGTCGAATGAGCTGTACTACAGAAGTCGAGGACGATTCCCTATCGTTTAGCACGATTGTGAACTGCTCCTGTCTGCAGCTATCGACTTTTGCAATATTAACGGATATTCTCGATTTAGAATATATACCCGAACCGTCTCTGCTGGAAGATGTAACCAGTTACAGCGCATTCATGCTCGCGTTGCCTTTATTGTTATCCGCCTTGCTCATTCTCTCGTTGATAAGAGGTGGCAGCACGAACTCGAATAGCATTCATAAGAATCTGGTGATGTGCGTTTTCTTCGCCGAAGTGCTGTATTTAATCGCGCTCAAAGCAAGAAGTCCTCTAGTCTCGAACAAATTCCCGTGTAAATTAACGGCGATCGGTTTACACTATGCTTGGTTAAGCACTTTTTCCTGGACTCTGGTGGACTCTATTCATCTGTATCGAATGCTCACTGAAATGAGAGACGTAAATCATGGACAAATGAGATTTTATTATACAATGGGGTATGGTGCTCCTGCAATCATCGTCGGACTAACCATCGGTGTCAGGGCTGACCAGTATGGGAACTTTTACTTGTACGTAAATTGACGCAGACATCTTTTTAACAACCATATTAAAGAACTTCATTTTTAATTGTTCTTTGTTTCAGCTGTTGGTTGTCGATTTACGAAACTGTAATTTGGTCTTTAATCGGGCCAGTTTGTTTAGCAGTATTCGTAAACTTTTGCATTCTCATTATGTCCATAAGAGCGGCGTTCACATTGAAGGAACACGTCATGGGCTTTGGGAATTTACGGACGTTACTTTGGTTGTCCGTAGCTTCGTTGCCTTTGCTCGGGTCCACTTGGACTCTAACAGTGCTCAATGCGTCTGAGAACTCTCCGACCCTGTCGTATCTACTTAGCATAGCAATCGTGGTTCATGCAGCATTTAGTTTAATCGGTTATTGCTTCATCAACGGCAGAGTACGAAGAAATTTATACCTGAGTATCTTAAGGTGTCTGGGGAAGAAGACACCTTTGCTGGAAGGAAGTATGGGAAATGGAAGCAGCAGTCAGAATGTGAATGGTCACTCGGTATGTGGACAAGGATTACACTGTAATCTTGGGTTATAAAAATTGGGCGTAAACGTTAAACTAATTCATAATGTTACAGAGATCTGCGCTCGCGTACTCGTCAACGTACAGCGGAGCGGAATCAGTGTGTAGAAGGGTTCACGTGGGAGTTTCAACGAGTAGTACAACTTCACGAAGTACAAACAAGACTGGGTCCAGTCCGTATCGTAGCGACACGCATTTGAGACATACATCAACGTCTACGAGTAATTATAATAGTGATAGGGACCCGTATTTGTCGTCCAGGAGTCATCGATCAGCGTTGCATTCCAGGCAAGGTACTTCTTCCAGTATGACATCGTGCAATCAGTGTAATATCACTATTACAAAGATGAATTGACTATTAATTAGAATGAATTTCAGAAACGACAGAATCACGAAATCAACGTCGAGATTCTGAGTCAGACTCGGATGGATCCCAAGCGGAAGATGGTGGGAGGAGCTTGGATCTCGCGAGTTCTCATAGTTCTGACGAAGAAGACATCACATCGAGATCCCACCGAGATATGGGAGTCTCGACACAGCAAGCTGTTACACACAGCTACTTGCCCAACATCCATACTAATCCCACTGAACACTTGAACATACTTTGTTCAAACGCAGAACTCTTCCCAAACATTAAACCTATTTATGCGCCCAGATGGAGTTCCCAGTTGCCGGAAGCATACTTATCATCAAATGGTGAGTGTTTTTACGACCCAACAATCACAAACCAGGTATAAAGTATTCTAAAGTATTGTTATCTTGTAAAAAGATTATAGTTTCTTCGTGCGACGTTACAAATGATCTAGTCAACCCATTTATTGAAACTGCAAGAAAGAACAAAAATAGTCTCTGTTACACGATCTTTTACCCGACTATGAAATATGACTAATAATGACAAATATTTCATTGGCAGTAATAGATGTCCGTGGAAGTCAGTGGTCTGGGGGTACGATATCCGACAACGAAATAGCGTCAAATAAAACGTCCAGTCCAAATCCACTGCCCTATCCTGAAATAAATTCCCCTCAAAAGAGTCAGCCGGATGAAAATTATTCTGAAGGAGAGGAGAAGCTTCACCATCTAGGCGAGAAGTATTTGTTCCCATACACAGCAGAGGAAGATCACACAGTGTCGCCAACACCGTACATGCTACCCATTGCGTCCCGCATTCTCGCGTCTAGCATGAGTCACCATTCGCAAAACTCGAATCACGAGAACTTAAGCGGATCAGAGAGATATGGCAGCTTGAAACGAGGGCAGACCATGCATGGGTCTCAGCACAACCTTAGTGGCTCAGAAAGGTACGGTAGCCTGAAGCGAGGAAAAATCACTCCGACTGTATTGGAGGATTCGCCAGAATACATTCTGCCGATGAGCGGTAGAATATTATCCAGTTCATTAACCCATGATCTACAACACAGCAACGAACTGGCTGCTCTTAGGCAGCAGCAACAGCAATATGAGCAAACAATCACTGAGACCGAGTAAGTTAATATAAGAAATTATCCTAGTCATTCTCAGCTTTCTGATACTGCTTTTCTAAAAATAACAATACAAATATACTTTCATTAATTTTACCTATTGTGTAATTTACGCTTGCCCTGGAAAATGAAAATAACTAGCGAAGAGGTAAGCATCTACAAAATTGCAATGAAATATCACGACGTTGAACTGAAACTTTGATGCAAATATTACATCTGATAATTTTGATGATTAGTTGGTAATTTCATGTAATTCATAATGTTTCAGGAAGGATACTAATGCGGAAACATCTGTGTGACACGGCTCCGTGCTACAAACAAACACCGTACAAAGTAATATAACGTACTATTAGCTTAAAATTCAAATGACTATATATATATATATATATATATATATAATTCTTGGAGCCGGTATTGCTCCAAGGTATATTTTAAGAGCGGCCATGACTGTACTTACGAAATTAGCCATATCGATTAGGATGTATGTGTGAGTGCCTGTTCGTATCTATATACATACGCTTGTCGATATTTCGTTTCGTGTGATTTTAAGCTCCGGATTCGGAGGCGAATCTTCCGTGACAGCTTGGAAGACCACTGATCTCTAGTTCATTTCATTACTCGTGTAATTAACATCGCTCTCTCTTTCTCTAGTACCTTAATTTCGTAACTCAGTATTGTGCAATGCATACATTCCACTTCCATTTTACATTTAGATTCTATTATCTTTTTTCTTTCATTTTTTTACGAAGAGAAAGATTTTTACAATGTTTTCTTATGCATGCCATGGAAGAAGCGTACAATCGTGCAGCGCAATTTTCATAGTTTTGTATATATTTATACGAAAAGAACGTGACAAAATACATAATTTATATATATCCTTCTATTCGGCTGTTGCGATTTTTATACTTTTCCTGTTTATTTGTTGAGAGATGAAAGAGCGGAAATTCCGAAGTATTCCGTGAACAACGATAACTTGGATAATATACGGTGTCTCGCACGAGTCTCCACCAAAGTCTCGTTGATAAAAATTACTTTTATTCTCATCGAAAATATAAATAAATTACAAAATATATATAGTTAGGTTAATATTCGGAAGATCGTCGTCTTTAACGTAAAGTCAGTGTACTATCGCGTAAACGCCGAGACTGCTATCAGATGCTTCCTGTTCAATCGCATCGAACAAAAACGACCCGAAGCGTTCGACTAGAACTATCCATGGATTTCAAGCTACGTTCCTGTGTTGAGCATCGCGCGGCACCAAACGAACTCTACATTGGAAAGTAACGTTTCAAAGCCAACGGTAAATCAACCGGCTACCCGAGGTCAGTTTTCCAATTACGCGCGAGCCATCTACAGATCAGTAAAGAAGATTGGTAGTGCACCTCCACATTGACAATTTCCTCGTGAATGCTGTGGTGGAATCTCTTATTAATAACCTTAGGGGGTTGATTCGACATCGACAACAGTTGTTGTTTCGTGTGCATTCTATATATATATGTATTATATATCGTTGCGATGCACAAGCAAAAACGTAGCTTTAAGGTGATCTTCAGCGTTTCAATACCGTTTCTTTATCAAGGTACGTTATACACAGATGAGGGTGATCCATGTCATGTAATGCATTTTTAAGACTCTTTTCATTTGGATTATTACAGGATTCTCTTACGTGTATAATAACGCATATGAATGATGTGCAAATGTTAAAGACCTCGCTCTGCAAATCCAATAGGATCCGATAGAATTGGCAGCGGTCGCGTGAAAACCCTCGAAGCTGTTCCGGTGATCTAACTACGATTCTACAATCGGATCTGCTCGACTGTGCCACGCGCACATCACAAATTAACCGCACTAGTGGACTAGGAGATTCATCGTTGCTACACAGTGCTTTCTGTGTCGGATGCCACGGACAATGTTTGCAACTTCGGCACCGAGTAGTTTTCGCAGTGTTCTTTCCAAGGTCGATGGTGCCGACGGAGTGTCCTGGTGGGCCTTTGGTGGAATTGGCGGTGGGCTCACCTGAGAATTCAGTCGAAACAAACGATGAGTAAATTATAAATGTTGTGTTGCACTGCCAAAATTATTTTAAAGTAGAAAAAAAAATCCATTGGCATTTATATTGTATGTACACGAAATTTCAGCATACAAGTGTAACCTCAAAAGGTGAAGTGCCTTATGGATATAAACCGAGTTGTTCCATATTTTAGCGTCATAACAATTACCTCTTGACCGGGCAGAGAGTGAGAACCCTGAAATGTGCCGCTTGCAAAATTGCCCGTGGAAACATTCAGTATGTTTATCACCGATGGCGGTGATATGTTCATAATATCGTTGCACCTTGTCCGTGGCTCGAAGTCTTCGTAACCAAGATTGTTCAAGTTGGTTAAGTGCGACTGGAAGTCCAATAGACTGGCCGTAGATATACCGCTATCGCGAAGATCGTTCGGTTCGTTTTGCGCTTCGGAGTCATCGTCGGTGCTCCATTCAGTGTTACGTTTGTATGCCAAACGCTTCGGTGGCGCGGGTGGTACAGCGGTATTACTATTTGAATCCCGCTTGTCAGGTGCTGAAAAGTGAGTAAGAATATTTTGAAATTTCAATTCTACACGTACAGAAAGATTCAGTGCTCCCACTCAAAATATGATAAAGAACAATAACAAAAATTTTTATTGGTATCACTTAGTTTTATATTATCATATACAAAATGTTACAGGTTTTCGAAATTGGGTTCCTGAGCGCCTATCGTAGGTAACCTGTAGATATCTTATGACACATAAGTTATCCCTTTTTCTATGCCAACGTAGATACTTGGTGAATGTTGAGTTGTCAGCAACTAGGTGCTCAGGGACCAATTACCGCACGTCTGAAAGCTTCTTACATGTTCTCGTACAAACAAGTACAAGGATAAAAAGTGTAAAACTTTGAATTTACGGTATGAAATTCTGAATTATCCTGTACTCGACAGTCACTTAAATTTGTACTAAAGACTGCTTCGCGCGATCGTGAAACTTACTGCAACCTCTTGGTGGAAGCGGTGGCGCAGCTTCGGGTCCGGGCTCGCTCCAGGACGTTCTCAAGCCCGTCTGATCTACACCGTCGGTCGGTGTCGGCAAGGAGTGTCTCAATGGCAGTTTCGGACTCAACGGTTTACTTAGAGATCTTTGATGCGTGGGCCTAGGCGGGGTAGTGCCGTAACCCACGGAACGAGGTCGAACTTCTCGCTGTGGTATAGGCGGTGGGCCACCGTCAACTTTTGTATAAAAACCTTCGTCTTCCGGCAAACCGTCACTATCCGCGTGAGACGATCTAGATCCAGCGGTTTCCAGAGTGGCGGGACGTTGCTTCTCGTTAACGGGTAACGGAGGCAATGGTGAGCTGGAAAAGATAGAAAGTTAATGTTCAGTTGCAATATAAATATTTGCAGAGAGAAAATACAACGGATAATTACTTGACGATGCTGTCCTGATGAATAGTTCGTTGCCTGGCCAGTGGGCCTAGGCCCTGCTTCAGTTGCGTGAATCTTTCGTTCAGTCTCTTGTGCAAAGGCTGTACTCCCGCGGGCGCGATTTTCCCGTGCAAATTCAATCCGGCCTCCAAGACGCTCATTTGATCCAGAATCAACCCTTTCAACCGGTTCACGTGCGGCACCATGTCTGGATTCTGTCTAGCGAATTCGGGAGTCAAAAAGGCTTCTTGGTACTTGGTGATGCCACCCATGACGTTCGCGTCGATGATGCCTTGAAGTCTCATGCTAAAGGGATTAATGTTTCGATGAGGTTCGGCAGTGTATTGTGCGACAAGTCTCCTTAATTCTCTCTCCACGCTCTGCATCGTCTCGCAGGCGTACTGAACAGGCGCCAACAACTCGGATCTCTTCTCGATCACTTCGAACCATCTGAGAATACCGGGCAGCTTGGCTTCGGTGGTCAGCGTGGTCCTCTCGATCCAGAGAGATTTGAACTCGTTCTCACGATCGACCGGGCCCCTGTGAAGCGGTCGATCGAAAATAAACTTACGGACATCGTTCACCAAATAGAAGGCGACGATTCGTTCCGGAACTTCAGCTCCCCGACAAGCGAGGCTACTTTCCTCGGGGATCGGTTTCACGTTGCATATTTGTATATCTGAAATATTAAATAGAAATGAAACACATCATCGGAAAAAGCAAAATCGAGTAATAGAGTGTAGAGTGGGGACGACGATCTCACATTGTCCCTCGGAGGTTAAGATACTCTCGTCCGGTGGAGAATTCTTCATTAAAATTTGTGCGCTTGGAAATTCAGTCTGTAGTCGTTGCGTGAATGCCCCTATCCGCTCATACTCTAGACCACGATAGATGAAAAGCTTATTCTGGAACCACACGAGAGGCAAATATAATTACACGTTCGCCCTTCCAGCTCTTCTAGAGCGGTGATTCTTACCCTAACGAAGAGAGGAAAACTGAGACCATAGAACCCGACGCGGAAGTACTCCGGTTCTGGCCGTAGCTGCGTCAATATGTTATCCAGAAACTTCGCTTGCAGTTTCAGCACGTGACTCAGCTTCGCGTAATCATACAGCCTGGTCTCGTACAAAACTGCCAATTCCTTGCACAAGGGAATGCCCTTCTCCCAACACTTGCCTCGATCCAAATAGTGGATTATCTTGTGATAAAGGAGTTCCTTCCTTTGCCATTCGAGTTGTTGAGGATGCGAATGATCCGGAGGCAGGATCGTCGAGCTCCAGCCAAGTTGATCTGCGTACAGCTTCATCGTGAATCCCGCCTCCGTGTAGTTCTCAGCCGCCAAATGCAAATCGTGGAGCTTGTAAATGTATCGCAGATACATCTCCTTTCGATTGAACTCATTCTTGTAGAAGTTCTGCAGGATAAACAGGTACAATCCCATCAGTACCACCGTATTGGATACTCTACGTTTTCAATCGGAACGGAGAATGTCACTGTCGAGAGACACTTTCAACCTACGTCTGCCTGTAGGGTTTGTATATACATTGTTTTTTACACGTTTAACGATTCATCTAACGTAATTAACACGTGGCGGCAGTTATTACCTTTAATACCGGATACGCATATGTGTTGAATTTTTAAATTTTAGGTTCGTGGTTTTTAGACTTTTACAATTAGTTTTATAAAATCGATATAATTTTCGTTAATTGTTAATCTTTTTCAACAAACAGGAGTAAACCTTTAGCGTACGTGCTGTAAAAGGTAAAAAAAAAAAACTAACATACATGCATTATAAAGAATACGCCTTTTTCTTGTTGCCGTCAATGACCCTGAATCATATGTCATTAAACGTATCTTAAAGGCGGCGACTGTTTATCTGCAATCTTTCGGTTAATGACAAATATGTCAGACAGACCACATTGATTACGTGTTAAAACATATGTCGTGCTCTATCTTGCTTCTATGCTTACCAATAAATTAACGGTGCACGACATACGCTTATCCCGGTTTTCGTCACCTTGAATCACGCTCCTGTAATCCAAAAGTCTCTCCAGCAACCGTGTGATCGACGTGATGAAAGCTGTCCCACTCTCCTTCCAGGCTGGATCTTCGGATTGCACTCTGTCCAGCAATCTGCACAGAAAAATATACTTGAAAACTTTTGCAAAAAACAGAGACACGTGATCAATTCAAGTTAAAGTGTTGTGCGATAAACTTACACAGCGCTAAGGTGCTCCCTAAAGCAGCGTGAAATGAAAAAGCGATTTAAACTTGCCTATCAGATTAAGGATTTTCCAACTCCATTAACAACTATACAACTTTCTCCTAATTGACTGTAAGCATGACATCAGAAATTATAACTTACATTGTGTTAAACAACTGCCTGTACTCGTCGTCACCCTTATTTTCACTAATCAAGATGTCCAACTTGTCGATCAATTCCGACTCGACGGATCTGAAGCTGCCTCGTGCCCTTTGTTCGCACTCCATCATATCGAAGAAGATGTGCAACGTAGCCTTCCTCAGTTCGCTCTCCGGGACCAGAGTGACCTCCAAGAAAGGACCAACCATTCCCGGAATGAATTCCAGCTTTCGTTCGCCAAGGTGAGACCACATCGAGAGAATTTGGAAACCCATCAGCACCCTCATATCCCCATATTTCTCAACAATCTTCTCCCGTTTCACCTCGGAGAATTGTTCGAGCTGAAGAGACGGCTGAGTGAGATACGCGACGGCTAGATTGAAGTACGTGGACCACAGTTGCGAATCAAAACTGCCGTCCAAGAAACGAAAAGCTAGCGGTTGGGCTAGCTCCTGCAGGGATTTGAGGATCACGTTGTTCGCCTGCATTCTGATCACCAACCAATCGGGCGGGAAAACTTCCTGCCTGACCAGGTCACGAAGAACCATAAACACTCTTAAAAGGAAATCCTTCAGAGGCTTCCGTTCTCCGGTGTGAGTCAGCTCTTCCCACAGTCTGGCATAATGATATTCGTCCAACAGCTGAAGCAGACCTATCAGACATGCCACCAGGCACCCTAACACAGTTCCGCTGGTGTTTATTACGATCAGGATCGTTTGTATCAACACGTCGAAAATCGATAGACAAAGTGTCTCGACATCATGATGGATACAGTTGTTCACTTTGTTCGTGTCGAAGCCTCTTTTGTGTAGGAAACTGAGTATCTCCCCTAGGATATCGGTGCAGGTGCGCAGCTCTTCGCGTCTTATCAAATGAATTCTCAAGTGTCTACACATCGTGACCAGCAGAAGATTCCTACTTTCGTCGTCCTCGCGAAACAACGAGGAAGTGGTGAGATTTTTTATGGCCAACAGCTTCGCCTGAGTGAGCTGCAGCGGTGGCTCTCGGGGCACCGAGTCGAGCATCGTGCACGTGAGCTTTGCCACTTCCAGGACCGGCAGTACGGTGACCAGTTGCTCGAACACCGCGGAGATCGAGTGGTGCAAAGCTATCTGAGAATGAAGCACCAGCTCGTATGGGATACCAAGCATTTTGTTGAACGAGGCGAACACACGGTAAATGTCGCGCTTGAAACTGTCTTCGTACTGGCCGGCCGTGGCCCTGGCGAACAATAACCGACTCTGAATGATGAACTTGAAGATGTACTCAAGAGAACGGAAACACTTGATGATCGGCTCCTGCTTATCCGCCGCGCTCGCCCAATCCGCGCAGTGCTGCACGCTGCTCAACAGACCCTTGTACACCAACGCCGCGGCGAAGTGACCGGAAATGTACGCGTCCATCACCGGTTTGAAGTGCTCGAACTTGGAGTCTTCCAGGAGGCTGAAGATCGACACCAAAACTTGAAAAACCAAACCCGAATGAGAGGTCGAATTCCCGTCCTCCGTGTGAAACATGGAGAACAAAGCGTCCAATATGTCCTGCAGGAACTTGACCAGTTCCTCGCCGTCCAATCGCAACACACGACCAAGCGCGTCCGATATTCGTTCGGGATGCGCTTTCCATTGAAGAAGGCTCAGCAAATCGACGTTCTGGGTCAGTTTCGTGCTGCACAGCAAGGTGTGCACCATAACGGCCTCCTTCGGAGACCTGGAGAACGTCGGAGAACCTGGAAAACAATTAATAACGCTTCTTACCGAGAAAATACGGAATCTTTTGAGAAAAAGATCAGAGGACGAGGGCTTACCTGTCACATTCGGTTCACGTGCGCTACTCGGCAAGGAAAGGTAACTCAACGAGTCCAACTTGGTCCGGTCTTCGCACTTGTAAATGTACAACTCGTGAGGACCATCTTGCAGAGTGGCGCCCCCGGGTTCCATGAGACGCACGAAAGCGAAGGAGAATAATTTTTTGTCGTTCTTTTCACGGGCTGCAACGTTCGACGAAAGTAAGTATATTCCTTTAGCGACTATTCGCGTCTGGATGAATTAACATTTACGTAGAAAACACTCTACGTTCGAGACTTACTGGAACAGTGTCGAAATTCAAAACGAACATGGCTCCCGTAAAATTTGTCGATAGGTATGGCCAGTCGAACGGTTTCCGCCCACGATGGACTGTTGTGATGGTATATGACTAAACTTTGGTACTCGGAACTACCTTCCATTCCAGCGGCTCCAAACAAACAGCCCTCCAACGGTTGGCCATCCGCGTCCAACACCAGAATCGTTACCTAAACATTCGGATGAAAATATATTGCTCTCGATAAGTACACAACGTGACGCGATGAAATGTATTTTAATCTATCTTGATCTCATCGACGATACCTCGATATTCTTCCCCGTTGATTTTCCACCCCGCTCGAACTCGCCGCGCTCCAATTTCAGGTACAAGTCGTTACGCACGTCCCCCGGCATGATCACGTCGGAGAAGCCGAGCTTCTTCGTTAAACAGATATTCTTGAAGAGCAACGGATTCTCTTCCCTCACCTGTGTCAGTTCGCCGTGCAGCACTCGCAGAGAAACCACAATCCCGTAATTCGGCTGGCCCGGAAGCGGGGAGCACTTGTTGTTACGGATAATTTGCTCGTGCATCTGGTGGAAGTCCTTCTCCTCACCTTGATACACCTGAAGCACCGCAGACAATGGGTGGTTGGATGGTATTTCTCGTGTAGATTGTATCTGACGAGCGTTAATTACGCTGGAGTGTTCCACGAGACACGGAATGCTCGTTTTAACGCAACCGTCTTTAACGCTAATGGTCATGGAAAATTGTTCGTAGGAGAAGTTGAACGACCATTACGATTATCAAAGTATTTGTCGTGTTTGAAAAAACCGCTGAACGTAATCGTTCGAGTGTCAAAAATTATAATGCCTGTATAGAGTTCAAAGTCACGGTAATTCAATGTAAAAATAAGAAACGATTTGCATCCAGTTACGAGGTTGACACGGACTGGCAATTTGTTCTCGCATTCGAGGCATCATTAGATTCCAAAATATAGAACATCGCATTGCACCTATAGGCAACAAGGGAATTCATAAGGGACAGAACATCGTAAAAGACTAAAAGTCCAAAAGAATAACCGAAATATTTACAATTTTCGTAGACTCGAGATATAGAATTTCCCGGCAGTACCAAGAACATCGTAAATTTTCCTTTGTAAACAGAGAATGGCGATGCACCTTGCGGCCCCGCTGTACCTGAGCTCCCAAGGGTACTCGACAACAAAAGCGTTTCGGGGGTTCGCATGGGGGAATCACTTCCGAATTTTCTGCTGTATATAATACGCTACCTTGAACGTGTTCTCGAGTTCCTCGTTATGATCCTGGGTGGCGTCGGCGAGGGACAGAACGGCGACGCCATGGGGCCTTCTGTACGTCGCGGTCCCAGCTTTGTTTTTGCCGGAATCGGAGTAGAGCATTCTCCCGCATCGCATCACGTGCGCGACCATGTACAAATCCCGGCCGAGGTCCGCGTTGCCGAGATCGGTGAATATCGTGCAGTTAGTGTGAATCTTCTCGACGAAGCTGGAGAAACCCTCCTTGGAGATCCGCACGAGGAATCGTTCGCTCAGATATTGATTTCTCTTCGCGTCGTACAGGGAGAAGTAGATCTCTGTGTCCTCGCCGATGGTGTGACCGAAATCTCTCATGCAGAAATACAGATGGTGCGTTAGGACTTTTCTGTGCTCCTTCCGTTTGAGTGTCCCCCTGGCTGAAGCCCCTTGTGAATTTTCCGCGCTCTGCACGTGCTGAAAACCGATAGGAACAACGATTCAGTCATACAACACTCTAGCCAGGTCTTCGGCTCGATATTCAACGGGCATAGTGAGACTCCTCGAGGGGGTAGGACGAGTGGTGCGCTAACTCGATAGCAGTGTTCTTGCATTACGTGTTATCCGCTTGGGTCTGATAAGGTACAAAATGAAGTGCAGTTTGGGGAATTTAACGCCCGCTAAACATCGTGTATATAAGTATATGTATACCCCAAAAATAGGGGAGAGACCGTGCCGAATTTACTGTCTAGGCATTCGGGTGTAAATAGTATTATTTTCGAAAAAATTATTCCATCGTTTAAGTGTAAATTCGTTCGCGGGAGCGGCTGCTGAGTGGCTGCATCTCGGATACCCGATACATCGTGAATCCCTGTTGAGAGCCGAATAACATGTGAATCGTAGGTTTGAAATCGGAATACGAAACCACGGCGGCGATCGGCGTTCGTGTTCGAAGACGGTGTCGCCTCCAGCGAATTAAAATCACGAAACGAGTCAGAAATGTAGTAGCTCTGAATGTACAATGGGACGTTAAAAATTTCATGTCGCGCGCACGTGCATTGAATCTGACCCGAAGAGCCGGCTTCATTTCAATTCTTGCGGAGCACTCGAAATGGTCAGCACTCCGACTAGAATTTCAATGAAGCTCAGCGATACAAGTTCGGAGAAATATTCGCGCTTAAGTGTGCTTCTCTTTCTTTTTTCTCTCTCTCTTTATCCGACATATTGGAGCTCTCTTCACTGCAACTCGTCCACCGTTTCCCCTGTTTTTTCCTTGATTGCGAAGTCAGCGCCCATGTCGGGTTCCAAAGAGCCATCGAAGTGACGTTTCTCGAAGCTATTTCGCGTACTCGTACGAGGAGAACCGACTGCATAATTACCACGTGATACAGCTCGACGACAGACATGGTATCCGGGTCCACCATGTGGGCACCTTGACGGGGGACCAGATCCAGACCGAGTTTCCTGAAACATTCCGAAAAAAAGAGTTCGATCAGACGAAACTGTATTCATCCTTCGTGAAATAGCTGGCACAACGGTAAAATTCAACGGTACAAATATTATGTATATCCGTTTCGATCGAATCATTTATCAGCAAAGATGGAACTGTATTTCTCTCTTTTTTTTTTCTTTTGCGGAAAGCAGACTATATCAGAACCAACGTGGTGCAATCGTACATTTCTACTTAAACGTAAAAATCGAAGTTCTCTTTCGTAACACGAAAGAAAAATAAATGTAACATGTTGAATCGGTCGAAAGTATTGCAAGAAAAATGCCGTAGAATCAGGAGTAACGCCAATGTGTTACATAATTTAAGGTCAGGAAGCCAGCAGCAGACAAGACTTATCGGACCCCGGAGACTTTCAGCTCGACCCCATACGATCGGTACATCCACGGCCGAATAGTCAGAGGGCACCACGGCCCTCGAGGATCATCGAAATCGACGGGCGAGCAAAACGGAGAGCTCGGCAAAGCCAATTAAGGGCCAGGTATTGCATCGGTTTTCGAAGATCGCTTCCGAAGTGGTCGAAGCTGTATACTTAAGACTTCAGTTAACTTCCCATGACCCCGGTCGACCGCATGCCATAGGGCCGACGTGTTCTCGAACGCATTGGGGCCCTACACAGGGCCGGCTGCTCGGCGGGGTCCTCGCGAAGCCCCTTCACCTCCCAGGAATGCAGCTACGGCACCGTCTGACCGCTTCGTCGCGAACCCACGACCGATTCTGCCGCGTTTACCTGCATATAATGTGCCAGAATTTGCACTCGTCTGCGCGCGCGTATTCGTTCACGATACAATAGACCCCGCTCCGTTTCTGACCTTTTTAGTCGATCAAGGTGGTTCGAAAACGGAACTACATCTGTCGAAAACCTTGAACGGTGATAAATGACATGGAACAAATATCACAGAATTTTTTTATACAATTTGTATAGTAAGAGGAACGTGCAAGAAGTTAACCCCTTAAGCGAGGAGAGCGGATTTATCGTTGGCTTATAGTTTTCTATATAATTTTCCGTCCCAAAGATGACCGTCATGTCGATTAATTTTAATAATATTCCAAGAAACAAGAAAGGGTTAAGGAACTGTGGTCGCCACCAGATTGTGCTTGTTTCAATTATATAAACATAAACCATTAAAATTGCCGTCCAATCTTGAAAGCGAAGGCGCAGTCATGTTGCACCTTTTCGGAAGATTGGATACGGCAATGCTGGCATGAAATTCCGTATATGGAAGCCGTACACGCTCCAGATGTGAAAGTACGGAGACCACATGAATAAATAAAAGCTCCAACCGTCGCCGTATCTTGCGGCACAACCGTATTAAACATAAAATACGGATTAAAATTGGACGAGAGTGCGTACGGCGTTGGGCGTGCACGCGAGCCAACCGGAAAGTTCAAGAAACTCTGGAAACATTTGGGACCGACGTTCGAAGTGAATGCATAAGTAGCCAGGACGCGTCTACCGAAAATTGAAGTAAAACTCCGAGCAGCTCGAAACAAAGTCACCAAATCCAGTCCCTAATACACTTATCGGAGTTTCGCCGTGTTTAAACGATTACTGTAATCTTGTTACACAACTCCTTCGTACACGGGACACACGGGCTCGCTTATGCAAATGAAATTCGACTCGACGCCGAAGCACGCGATCGTCTTTATCTTCCATGTAAATTATGGACCTGGTAAACGAACGAAATTAATGTGCGACATTTAAACAGAACAAAAAAATATTAACTTTTCCGTAAGTTGAGCGCGACACGGTTTCGACAGCTCCACGTGGTGGTTCTGTCTACGAAATTAATCTGTGAAAGTATCGCGACGAGTTCTCGATGGATGATTTTCGTTCCACGATGCAAAAAGCATCGGAACAACCGAGGTCGGAACACCACCTCGTCGGGTTGGAATCGATGGCTGTCGAGCGATAATTAACGTGTTCGAGTGAGGTGCCCGCGCCGGGGATCACGAGGTGTTCCGAGCAGATTTCGGGCTGGATCAGGAGAATTAAGTGGTACTAGAGCGAGCCAACTTCGTTGTTGCTTCTCGCTTCGTCTCGCGTACACCTCGGTTCGCATTCTCCTCGTCGCCTCTTTCTTCTCTGCACAATCTCGCGTCACTGAACGCTGCATTTCGATGTACCGTCGCATAAAGCAGTATCTAATTTTCCCGTTGAATTTTGGGTCTGACGAATTGACGAATCGCCAAATAAACTTAAGGTCCATACGACGACGTTAAATTCATTATGTCTCTTGTTTACAATACGCTTTATAAGACTTTTTACGGCAGTAGCTTAAAATTAGAGGTAATTGATACTTTGCCAATACATTTATCTACCTTAAATTCTGACGGTTGCTCAGCATATGCTTATCATGCAATGAATATACTTCATCTAAAATTAGATATCAACTAAAATATACTTAATATATCAAGGAAAATATTTGTCCGTTTTACCCCTTAAAGCCTTACGATTTTTTTAACGACAGCAGTTTTTACAATTACTTTATTGTTAATAATCTCCCGCGAATAAAAAGAATTCTATGCATGTTGCAAGCGTGCATTAAATCGAAAAGTTAAATATTAATACCCGGTAAAATAGTTGTTCACTTCAACAGGAAACAAACGAGTAACACTCGTGTTTATTAAATTCATTTCGAAATTATCACCACGAGTCTGACTCGAATTTATAATTTGAGGGGTTAAAGGCCACGCCGATTCTATTCTCGATCGAAATTTCTTACGATCTAGAAAAACGGGTAACAGGGACTCCGAGTTTTCCCCGAAAGGTTCGAAAGGAGCGTTCCACGAGTCCGGAGGGACACGGTACGGTCCTGAGAATCCCGGGAAGGTCCCCCCTCGGGCCCCTGTTGATGGAATGCAGGTGAGCAGGCAGAGTTCGATGCGTGGAGACAGGTACAGGCAATGTCCGCCGCGTGGTTGGGACCTATGTCCCATTCCAAAGATATCGGATAAATTCCCTGGCCGACGTGACGCGGCGACCAGGATCGAGTCCGCCACGAGCAGCGCAACCAACTCGCCGAGAGGAGGAACAAGGAACGCGGTCGGGCCCTTTTAGCTCTTTCGTCGGTTTCTTCGTCTGCCCCTCGGACTTCTCGGTCACTCGCGATGACGAATTCGTTCGGCCAATGCCCGTCGAGCACCTCCCGTAGTCGATTTACCGGCTCGCCGCCGAACCGCTCGCTCCTCTCTCGATATCGAACACTTTCGACGAGACGAAACTTTCAATTTGCTCGCGAATAATCCAACAAGCTATTCAGACATCGACGGGAAAAAGTTCCTTTTTCCACGTCATTGGACGAGGTCTGGGAATCTTGAACGAGGATATATTGGTAACCAATTTAGCTTATCTTCGAGTTCCAGCAGACTGGAATTCCATGTAGAAAGAGACCCGGTACAGGTTGTTTTCTATTAAGGCTGCAGATCGATCGGATACTACTCGACTCTCCGATAAAACTTTGCATTGGATAATAATAACAATGTACAGATATGTTGTTAGCGCAGGTTATGAATTGGTCCCTTCTGTCAATTTCACATATTTTGCACCTGAGAAATAAAGTTATTCTCCATGACTTTCACTTTAAAGAATTTGCAAATTTCATTTTATCTCTTTATCATATGAATTTTTTGCCACTGTGTCAATTTCACACCGAGAGACGGATAAGTTTGGAAAATGAGGGACGGATGAGGGGTACGAATTTTTCTTAAAATCGAATCGAACGACATATCTCTGCCTCCCGAATCAGAATTAACAATTTCAGCAACGATTTCTTCTTAAGTTCAAAGCAACGCGATAAAGCAACATAATAGAATTTACAAGCCAGACACGGCGAGCCAAGTTTCACGACGGAAACTACTAACATGAATGATTGAAATCGGAATCGGAGTTCTAACCAGACACCTGAAGCGATTAAACGTAGTTTAGGCACCCCGCAGGGTCTAAGGCAATCTTCGTGGAACAGCCTCCGAGCAATTCCGGAAATTTACGATTCCAGAAAGAAAAATCACTGACGGGCCGCCGGCGAACCGGGGAATCCCTCCTTTTTTTGTGGCCGTTGAGTTTTCAGCTGCGATGCTACCTCTCTCTTTCTCTCGTGCGCGCGCGCGCGCGCGCGGGCGATTCAGTAACCATTCGGTAGCTTTAAACGCTGTAATTACGCCGGCGCTGCCGCGAGTTCTGGACTCCTGTTTCTGCTTCAAACGGACAATCGATTATCAGCCCTCGTTCGCTTTACACCGTTCTTCGCGGTGTCTTCGTTACTCCGAGCCGTTCTTTGAGCCTCAGGTGTATGTACAAACCGCATATTTTCCAATCAATTAGGACAAGAAAGTTGTCCCGAACCGTTGATCGAGTTCGAATCTGTGATTAAATACTCGTGAGTCTCAAGCCTCGACGATTCTGTTCACCCAACAGATACGTCTATACCTTTTCTGTAATACCTGCTAAATCGTAGCTACGTTGCAACATAGAAAAAGAAAAATCGAGCGATACACAATCGAATTTTACGTAACACTAAGCATGACCAAAAGTTGAGTACCCCTATGCTGATCAAATTGACTCGGGACACAGTACGCAATTTAATCCCGTATAAAGCGACTCGCAGGAATAGCGCAATCGGTTGCATCAGAATTCGTAGCGGCTTTATGAGCTAGCAAGTGAACATTAGTCGTATTCAGCCTTCGTTACAATCAATCCATGAGAGTCAATGAGGTACGCTCCGATTAACAGAAATGCTTTTGAATATTAAGCAGTGTTGTGCACACCGTGCCATTCGTATCCTAGAGAGTTTGGTTATTCATGGTGAAACGTAAGGCTAAATAAGTTCCAACGTGCCGACAGTATCAATTTATAGGCGCGCTAATAAACCCTCGCGTAGTTAGTCGTTCCGCCAGGCAAAAGGTCGGAGTCATTTTCTAAAAGGACACATCTCCACGCCCGGAAATGTTAAATGATACATAGCAGACTGACCTAGGAAAGCCCGAAATGTCTCGTAAAACATCTCAGCGTTATGTAAACGTTTTATCGATCGATAGAACGAGGAGGAAACAGTTCTTCTCTGTATACAAATACACGAACGGTTACGTATACTCGAGAAGAATCGGGGAATAGTGTCCAAAAGTGTGTGTTATTACATAATCGCGACACGATCCGACGCAAGTAAAGTCTGTGGAAGTCGTCACGGTTCCATGGAGAGGGTGGTTTCACGCGATCGTGTAAAACGGCCTTAATAGGAGTGTTTCCTGATCCCGGAACAAGTAACGAGACTCGTACGTATAGCGAAAGGGTTCGTGGGAAGACGAACGCCGAGTCTGGTACGCCGGAGGGTATATGCGCGCGCGGTACACCAAGCCAAGCCTGCACGTATACGTTCTGTCCTCCACCAGCAAACCGGATCGCCTCGTCACTCTGCACTCTGCACTCTCGTAGAGTGCAGTTGCAGTTGCAGTTGAATGCTGCGCTCGACTCGACTCGACCCAGAGGACACGAGCGTGCTGCGGTGGTAGTGGTCGTAATAGATGTCAGGGCCAAATCGACGAGCCCCCACGATCTCAATTAGATCAAATGACGAGCGATTAAGCGTGATTAGCCGCGAACCTTTCAGTTTTCCCCCGTTGACAGACTTCGGACGCTGGTGTTTCGTCGGCTCTGGGGATAAACGGCAGCAGTGGCGACGCTAACGTTTTCAGCGAGTCAGCAACCGTCGGGAATGAGATTCAGCGGCGTGGAACGCGACGATGACGAAACAAGTGTGTACTCGAAGGAGACACAGCTTGCACCCGGAAGTCGTGGACAGCGTTAACCTGCGTCTTTGTTGCTTTTTTCCAAGTGTCGAAGAAGCCGAGTGGGGTGGGGGGGGGGATAGAAATATGACGCATTGAAAAAATAAAATCTATTCGAAATGGGGGCAAAACGAACCGTCGACGGCACGTAATCTTCTGATTCCAGTTGTACCTTTATTGAGTTCGGTACGATCGTCGTCATTCATTAATATTCTTTCGACAAGGTAGCGGTGCATCGGTAGTCGCGTATACTATGGAACAATCTCCTCTACCTAAGCTCGTTCTCCCCTCGCCAGCGACCGCCGCTACCTTTCATCGTACAGCCCTGGCTCCGAGTAGAACAACGCCAGCACCGTGCTACGCCGAGGCGAACGCAAAAAGAAAGGGACTACCTTACGGGGAACAGCGCGGCAGCAGCGTTTCCCAACCTTTGAGTACCTTTTCTGAACGGTTCGTCGATTTTCGAAAATTACGTTCGTTGTGAACGCAAACTATTTCGGCTTTGTACTATACACTATATCTTGCAGATTTATCGTCTGTAAAATCTGGTGTCCAGTCTGCTAGAATAATACTCGTCTTTACAACTTCACAATAGACACTCAAAGTCCAAGTTCATTTATCAGTGTTCATTGTACAAATCAATCTTAAAATATGTATCACTACGGATGACTAATATCTCCCAGATAACAAAGTAAAAAATTATTACTGTCGGACGAGCCGACGTGTTTGTAATTTATTTAATATATTCAAACCAGCCGCGCATACGGAAAGTCGGGCATGCATTGGGGAGCTGAATTAATTACAAATACAATACGACCGTTCCATTCAATGTAGAATGGGTCACGAAATCCTTGCGTTCGTACGGATACCCCTGCTCGTAACTCACTAAAGATGGTTGGTAAACATTTAGGGACAACTCAGAGTATCGTACGCTATTCGAACGAGTATCAATGGAAAATATATTTCGAAAGTATGTACGTATTCTTCGGAGAATAAATCGTGTCTGTGGATTTTAATCGCGATGCGGCATATTTATAGTAACAGACGATGTCTCGATAAAGAGAGGGTATAACACTGGCGTAACGTCACGCAACCGTGTAGTCAAGAGAGGGTTCAGGGAATCGGAAGGATTGGGAAACCCTGAACCGGGGGCCGTGCGCGGTTATGCACAACCCGGGAGTTTCATCCCGTACCACCGCGTTACCCCAACAAGGAAGCAAAGCCCCTGCTGGTGGCGGCGGAACGGAGAAAGAGGAAGAGGAAAGAAAGGAGAAAGGAAGAAGAAGAAGACGCGTAGAGGGCAGTGCACGCGAGGTGGAGCCGCGAGGCACGCTCATTAGAAATAATAATAATTACCACTACGTCGGTAATAAATGTTGCCGTTTGCTCCGATACACGCCTAACTGGGAACTAAGTTAACCATCACCGCTGGCACCCTTTAATTAAATCAATGGAATACACCGGCGGGGAGAATGATTTATATTTCGTTGTCGCTCGGGAACAATCGGAAACTGTGCTGGTCCGGGTAAAGTGAGCGTTTTTCGAAATGACGGCACGAGAGAAGAATGGAACAACGCGCAGGGTCATTACCGTGGAACCGTTACTCGTATGTATATATACACATGTACGCAAGTCACCGGTGATATATCGTCGTTGTTATTTCAGGAATTCGTTAGACTAGGTTATTTGGGTCGTTAACCCAACTGAAAGAAAACGAGACTATGTAGATCAAGGAAAGGATAACGTAGGAACCTGAAACGAAACCTTGAATAATTTCCGAGTAACTCCTTCGAACGAACGGAAAAGAACTTTTTACCGCAGTAGACGATTCGTCGAGGAGACCATTAGTCGACTTTCAGGGAAACTTGGGATTTTCTGCTCGAATCCGCGGCCCTTCTTGGGAAGTCAAAAATCGAAGAAGGAAAAGAGAAAGGAGGACGAGAAGGAGGTGCCACGAGGAGAAGCTTTAAAGAGCCAAAGTGAGCCTTCTCTCGCAGGGGGAACAGGTTCCCGGCATGGTTACCGCGTATTCACCGAGCTGAAAACCTTGAGCTCCGCGCGACGAACGAAGAGAAAGAAGAGTCTGCTTCTCTGTTCGATGATGATGATGCTGCTGCTGCTGCCAGAGGTTTCTCTTCGTGGACGCGCGATATTGTGATAAAATTCGAACAAGCGATGTAGTTGTAGTAAACAAAAGTCATAAGTTTACCTCGACTAGTCTCCTCAGTACCAATACAAATAGCATCTTTAGTTTCAATTCAGTTATTTAAAAATACTGTCAAATGGAGGAACCTTATTCAAAATATTACATGTAACATCGATTAACGATCAGATGGTCCAACACTTGAAATTCGCCGTGAAAATAAACGAATCCGGATAGCAAAGGAAGAGGACATTCGGAAAGTACGATGCAGCAGCAGATTTTCAATGAATTGTGCGGTCGTGCTGCAGTGATTTCCCTTGGCGGGCGACTATACGCACCTGATAGAGTCGCCCCCACGCTCGGCACTCGACAGACGGAGAGCAAGATGGCGGGGAGTGGTGGGGCCCAGAACGAGTCCCTGACTCTGTTCGGTTCAGTCGCTGTTCGAACGCCGGGCCCCGTCGGTGTGCTTCGCGGCTTCATTCGGACCCTCGAAATTCTCCCTAAAACCGTTCGTTTACGCCAACACCCACGGAGAGGGAGAACGAGAACGAGAGATAAAGAGAGTGAATCAGACGTACCGCCGCGCGCGCGTTAGGCATTAATTCTCCAACACACAACGACGCGTTGATCGCTCTTATCCTTCCCCGCTCTTTCTCTTCGTTCGTGCTACGACCGGTCACATTGACTAGGGCCGAGAACCAATTCGAATTCGATTAGAATAATAGGATATCGCGCGATAGACGGGCCGAAACGGTGAGACGGTGTGAGGTGCCCAAGGATCTGTAGTTACTCGACTACACAGCCACACAGGAAGGAAAAAAGACGCCGGCACTTGGGACAGTTTGTCCCTAGTCCAGGAGATTTCACGGAAACGGACGCGGGAAACTCGCAGGAAGAAAAAAAGGCGATCGACCAATAAGCGTGTGGTTCCTGTGCTATTGGCCCGTGGGAAAACAAAACAACCCACACGAATCGGACGAACTTATTCGGTTGTCGCTGGTGTGGATTTTGGAAACTGGTTTTAGCCGCCAGTGCCGATCCGAAAAGAAAAGGTATTGTTCAGTAATCGTTCGTGGTTATTTTTCTCGGGCGTCATGCGGTTGTACAGTGGTTGAAATTGGTGGTGGATAAATATTTCGAGTTTCCGGCGAAGGACGCACTTCCTCGAGGTTTGTATCGCATATAGTTCGCGTGAAGTGACTAGTGTAATAGTCTTTTTATCACGGAAAAAAAAACTTGAAAAATACCTTGGGGCCGTCAGGATACAATGTAATCGTAATGGCGACTCGCCGAATGAACGTACAAGATACGCGTGGTCTAATCGCTGCTTTCTGTTTATGTTGCGTGTCGCGACACCGATTTTACTCGTAAGACGTAAACACAGGCTTAACCTTTCCGTGCAAACACATCCTGTGCAGAGTTCTTTCAATCAGGTAAATGCGTATTTAATGAGACAAAAATTCCTGACGAATAATACCCGATCGTTTCAGCGAAAGAAATCAATCTGAAGTAATCCTTCTACGAATAAAAACCGAAACGGCCAGGTGAACTGTAAACTGCATCTAGAAATTAGCTTAAAGCTTCTCTCAAACTTTCCATTGTATCCGAAAACTGCCTCGTTGTTTCATGATTGTCTCGATCGAAGGAAAGGGCAATCTTAAAAGTAAAGTATCTTACTCTCACCTTGGTTGAAAGACCCGAGCCAATGAATGTTATCGACGAACTGATAAACGAGGTTTGCCCGCAGGACCAATGCAACGGTCCTTCGCGGTCTGCTGCCAGGTTTCACCGCCAGATAACATTCCGATAAGAAATAAGGTTTTACATTGTTACACGAGGGTCCATACGTGTATAGGATGTCTGAAAATATCTGGATTCCTAACAAAAGTAAATGATTTCTGATGAAGTAAATCGAAAAGGTGGTAAGAAAGTTTGTCGAAGGACTGTGTGTAGACCTTAGGTACTTCGATCGTAATTTCTTTACTGTCGAGTCCCCTAACAAAAATAGTGCAGTCCATTTTGGATTTACGTGTTCACGGGAAATCCCAATCGTTCGAGTTTTACCAGGTATTTCAGGACACCCTGTGTACATACGTTCGAGGAACTAGCGAGTGGCCACTGTGTATACCTAGGAGACCCGAGCTTAACTCACGTTCACCGAAAGTTTGTCGGAGATAATACCGTTTCCATAAAAATGTCTCCGAGAAAAGTGAGCAGAGTAAACGTGGCCCCTCGATCGATCTCTCTCGCGTTTCGTTGTCATGCGGTGACCAGCTGAAACTTCATCCAGACTCCGAGCAACGTCCTTAAGCGCGTTTAAGATGAAATTGACCCGCGGGCCACGGGGGAGGGGCTCTCTCATCCGTCGTCTTACGTCGTGTTCAAACGAAACAACGGCTCCTCGGCAAGCGGACAGGGCCGAGTTCTCGCGGTTCTTCGGTACCGGGACCACGAGATCCAATGAAAATCACCATTGGCGGAGGAGCTCTTAACCCCGTTCGAAACGCGTCACGGGGAGCGTTAAAGTCTCTCGGCTGCACGTTTTACGCGGCTGTCTCTCGTGTGTGCCCTGTCCTGGAACTGGTTTGTCCGGAATGGAAATCTCCCGAGGACCGACCGAACCTTCGATCCGCCATAAGCGGTACCCCACGATTTCGACCGGTCTCGGAATCCGGTGCTACACAAGGAACAATTAAGTTGAAATTTCAGTTCATAATTGTACTATGAATTTCGATACTATTAGTAAAGGTTCAACGATCTATCGTGTGATGCAACTTTCCAATCTACATACAATCTTCAAAAACCTGTATAGACTTTTTGCAGAGTTCCCCAATGAGTTCTGTTATCGATCGAAAATATTTACCGAACATCGTAGATAGCGAGAATCAATATTTGCTATCAATATTGGTCGTTCACAAACGACGAGGTACATTTAAATCGCCAGAATTATCCGTTTTGTTTAATGCTTCTACATTTTGAAACTTCATCAAACTTGAATGTGCAACACGCGCGTTTGTTCGTAAAAGTGGTTTTACGGTGCACCGTTCGCGATACACAGTGTGTGGAGGCCAGCAGTGTTTTGCCCGTAATGAAATGCAATACGCGTACACCACGGGATCTCTTTTTCTCTCCGAGTGCTGCGTTGAGTTTCGCGCGCCCGCTATCTTCGCTTGTATAACGCATCTTTCCTCGGTATCCTCTCGTTTCATGGAGGTTGTTGACGTATCAGCATGATTCATAAAACGCGTCGGTTATATTACACACCTACATCCGGGATCCCGCCACCAAAGCGTCGAACGGACTGGATCTTTTTATCTCGTAACGATATACAATATGTACGCGAGTATTGTCCTCCGTTTTCTCCTTTTTCCTTCGTTTCAGGCCGTTGATCAAGCATTTCGTGGCAGCTCTCTCGATTGTCCCGACAGCGAAACCGGCCGCGTAGTTACGGCTGAACCGATAGTCCAGCAATTAAAATCGACGGAGGCATTATTTCATCGATCGTATAAACGTCATTTACGATTCAGCATCGAGATCTCGTTGGCTGGAATTTTTTCCATGCCTTTATGATACTAGAAAATCGCATCGGCATTCACCTTTCACTCGATGACGAGAGGCGAGTGCCCTTCACTCGCCGATATTGTTCCTAATGCGATACACCGGGTCGATTCATGGATGACGCGCGCGAGGTCTCTTTCGGCTGCCATCGCGCTCTCGAAATTGTATCTTTGCGCGGCGTTCAAGTCTCCAGCCCAGTATGTACAGTTTCCCAGGACTTCCCTCTAATTATCATTTACCAGTCGTGTTTAACTGAATTCGAACGTTTGAATGGCACCTCATTCGAGACTGGAAATTTAAGAAGCCACGAATCAAGTATATACATCGACGACGAACGTATTACCGAAGAACAGGAAAGTTACGAAAAAGAACAATAGAGAGCAATACCGAGACGAGACACATTACGAAGAAGTTTGTTCTCCAGACGGCACGGTGTGTTTACCGAATCATTTGACAGCTGAAAGAATTCCCGTGTCCCAGAAAGTTCGGATCTAAGTATCCAGAACAGGACGACACCGGTGTGTTCTTCTTGTACGTTTTATTTCGCGACGTCGATGCATCGCTATATCGAGAAAGTAACAGCTGCCCGCCACACGAGAAAGAGAGGGAACGGGGGATTTCACGGATCGATGAAACGGGAAATTCCGATAAAACTCTGGTTTCTATTCCCAGGGAGCGGTCGATCCGCCGCATCGGCTACGACGATGAAACGCGATCGATCGGAGGCGTTGACCAACCACGATCGCGTACGATCGGCGACGCGGACGGTTAAAAGTCCCGACTGTGTGGTTACCGCGAACGTAACGGGTAACTGTAAATTCCCTTTCCACGGTTAGTCTCTCTCTTGACTCGTCCTAACGTCGTCGTCGTGGTCTGGAAAAAACGTCCACGCGCTACCTACGTGTACGTACACCTCCCGTCTTCCCACCGAACACCGTTAACTCGATCGATGATCCTGGTGCCAGCTGATAACAATTCATTTTCGTTGCTGGAATTCATGATCGGGGGGGCAAACCGGTCAACGCGCCGACGAGGATCGAGTGTCTAAGAATCCAGACTGATGAAAATTTTAACTTAACTTTGGAACGAACAGAATGAAATTTAGACATTTTTTATATTGCAATATATGTGAAATATTTAGCACTACAATTGAGCAATTTTTAGAAAGTAGGGTACCTAAATCAGTTTGGCTTCCGGGAGGCTCGAATGTACACGTAGGTATACCGGAGTAGTTGGTGTAAAGTTCACGACAGACTGTTCGGAGCGTAAAATAAAATTTTCTCGCCAAGAGGTTCCATTCCAAGGGAAACCGGTTTTGAAAATACATACGTGGGCTGTGAGCGCGTGCTTGCCTACAACTCTGTTCAATGGATCCCACTGCGGATGATTGTCGCGTTCGTACGTACAGGACTTTACCCGGCGATACCGAAGGAACAAAGATTTAAGGCTTCCACGGATCGACGTCGTTGAGGTACAATTATCGAGACTTTCGAATAACGAGCCCTGTCCTATTGGAAAGTATTATCTCGGCGTGTAACCACTGTGTCGCGCATTGCAGTATGTGTGCAATACTGGCAAAAACATTGAAATAATTTGTTAAAAAGGATGTGGTTTCCTGCTCGAAAGCGCCAAGTAAGGATACGCTGGCAAGCAGGCGAGAATATCCATGATCACCGCGTATCAGATATCATGGCTGGCATAAGGTCAGCTAATTTCACTCCGAAGGTATATACGCCGGGCACGGAATTTAATTAATCAAGGTCACCGATCATGTGCAACCTATTCGAGGCTCATGAAAATGCATGAGAGAGTCGCTGCCATTTCGCCGGTTGGTTCGCCGACCCTCTGGAAGCTCAATAAACATTTAATAAAGTTTTCTTGCGGGTCGAACGGACAGCCCAAGTGCTGGAATAAATTACGGGCCAGGGCTCTGTGCTCGAAGGAACGCACTGACCGCGGCTGAATGGCATCTCGCCCTGTTTCATAACTCCGTGCTCTCTGTGCTGCTGCTAGTTACTCGGATCGCAAGCACGCCCGGTCAACTACATCCTCCATTCGGCCACCCTAGCAACAACAAAGCATTTGCATTCGTTCCCGGAGACTTTCCTGCAAACCGAGTCCCGAGGAAATTGCCGGCACCGGGGAATCGACTCTCGAGGCTCGAACGCTGCGGCATAAATTACACCCACCTTTGTTCCCTTTAACCCGGCTTTATCCCTCGCGAGCCGAAGCTCTCTCTCTCTCTCTCTCTCTGTCTGGACACACCGTGGTCGCCGTGAAACTGATTCGAGTCAAGTTTCCAATCTCCTACGTGGTGTATCACATCGTCCACACGGTTTTCAACGGTCTCCGAGAGATTAATGGTACTCGATATTGTTTAACTTGGACGACACGTTTTACATTTGACATCCGTACTACATATAAACGGATCAATTGGACCCAGAACGGATTCTATTAAACTGTGTGTGTGCGTCCGTCGACGAAAGTAATCTTT